ATTTCCAAAGATCATGTGAAGTGGTATACTTTTATATATATACTATTATATATACTATATAAATATTTGTTTGTTAAGAATATGGTGGTATATATATCTATGGTACATTATGATGTGAAAAATTAATTTGTTATGCAATTAAAAGTTTTGATTTAAATATGTAGTTAAGCTATTTATTAACAATTTTTTAAGTAATATTTTATTTAGTTGTAATTCTTTATGCGTACTAGAAAAATTTTTAACAAATATTAGTGTTGACACAACCCATAATACTAAATAGATTCAGTCAAGTTTTGGATGCAATGAAAGTTATTGTGATTTCTTTGGAAACAAAATTTTTGAAAGTAAATTTCACTACTGCATTAATATCTATGTACTATATATAATACATGCTGCAGTTATATATTTTAATTTGAAATGTGATTTATTTATATAGATGTAGTATATAAATACGGAAGTTATCACAGCGAGAAGAGTTGCACGTCAGAGTATTCGAGATGAAGGTTTAAAAAAAATATTACAACGCATACGACGAAACGGCGAACACAGACCGCACACTAACAATAAATTTAGAATGCATAATGACTTGATTGGGTGAGTCAAGTCCTTAAAATAAAAGACAGAAAACCACAGAAACAAATATCAATATCCAATAATGCAGTTAAACGACTCAACTTGAGATGGTTGAACAATGTTAGTGAAAATGTTCAATACAGGAACAATATTGAAGAAATATGGTATTTGATAGATGAGAATAAAGAAAGACGGGTGATGAAACTAAATCTCTCGAATAGCTGTAAAGCTTATAATGATGATGAATTCATATCATGTCATATTAAGAAAGCCTTTACCATATAATGTTATTATCCGATTTAAGGCTTCTTCAAAATTCGGTTTTCTGGTCAAGCTACTCTATTTCAAATTCTAACAAATCCAGTAACAACAAATTAATACCGGAGTAAAAGGATGCAGAATACTAATATCTACTATAACTAAAGTGTACATATATTCACTATTAACACAATATATATTTCACTTACTTACGTTCAAACGTTCACTGACATTTTTGGTTCCCAGTTGCTTGCAATCGGTTTCATTATAGTCAAAGACCACGGTACAAGCTTGAAAGATCACCTGATTTTTCATTATAGTACCTTTATAAGAAAGGTATTATTAAAAATAGGGATCATTTACAATTTCAATTTTTACTGGAATGCTATGCTATATCAATTACATACCCGATAAGCTCATAGAAAACACAAGAGCAAAAACGATGGGTTCTATATAAAACATATTGAATATTTTGTGCCATTCCAATTTTTTCAGGCGTTCCAAACCAACATTTTTTACAATTTCCACCATTTTTAAACTGTGATTTATATATATATGTTATTATTTATATATTTATTTAAAATATAAATTGTTTTAAAGTTCAGGAACTAAACTTTTTATTCTCACTTTAAATGTTTATAACATTTGTTCTATTTGTTTTAATGGTTTAATTGATTTATATATTACATATATCTTTATTGCATTTTATAAAATTCAATTTATTTAATTTGTCAAAAATTAGTCCCGTGCTGACACGTAACGGACTCTGGTAATTTATTCATTCCGATTGAAGTTCCACTCACGAATAGTTTGTGCTTCTACTGAAACGCACATAACCGTCAAAAATCACAACTATTGAATAACTAACTTCATTGTGTTCTCTATCGGCGCAAAGATCGTCTATTGAAGTACGTATATATACATTATTTTATCTGTTCGGATGTGAGTATGAAATTAATATATGTTTGTTATGGATTCACTAGTGCGGCAAATCAATAATTATTTGCATTAATTTTTTTACATTTAAGTATTTATTTGTTTTTATTCACAATCGTTTGTATATATTTTAATACAAAAAGTTATAGTTTTCTATGAATCTCAGCTGAAATGAAAGCTGAGCTCTGTTGTTACTTTGAACCGTGTCTCTTCGACACTAGTTGTAGACTAAAAGAGCTGTTGGATTTTATGTTGATATAATTTATCTTTTTTTAAACATTTTTGGGGAATAACCAGAAGTGTAATTCAATACCAGTTGGTATGTTTACCAATTTAAAAATTATTTATAAATTTAATATTTGATAAAGATATTCAGTTAAAAACCAAAATAATTGTTTACGCATTAACCATAAATAAACAGATAAACAGAAGATAATAATGTTTAAAAAAATATTTTGGAATAACTCCCAGATGTTAATGATGATTACTTTTATGATCACAAAACCTAACACTTATAACTTATAACATCAATGAAACATATTAAAAGTCAATGAGTATACATGCATTATTATAATTTTTGTTTAAAGATTTTATATATATATATAACAAAATCTAAGCCTACCATTAATTATATAGCTTGTTTGGCTTTTTCTAGTAATGGAAATTAATAGTTATCTAATAAGATATTACTAGATATTATCTTATTATCAATAAGATCTATATATACATATAATCTACAAGATACCAATCCTTAACCATCACTTCGCAATAGACTTCTGAATCTATCATTACTGAATTTTAAATTTCACCTTAGTTGTCACTATTTTTAACACAGATTATTTCTAGAACATGCTGTTTAAGAATATATTATTTTATACTAGATTATTATTTTATACTGGCTAGTTTACTAGAATATAAAACTTTGTGACATCATAATTTGTTAAATCTTAATAAAATCTCATCTCAATTAATTACTCCAAACAGTATTCAGATATTCAATCAGATATTGTTTTATATTTGGTACCTAATTTGGGAAACCTTTAGATAAAAAATTAATATATTATATGCCAACTAAAAGCGTAAACTAAACTTAAAGCTCTGAATCTACCAGTGCGATTTAGAAGAAATAGAATTAATATTATATTCCTTCTAAATCCAAAACTATCACTTTGCACTAGACTCCCAGATGACTTTTGACTTGCTCCACAATTTTGTTCTATAGCTCCGACTAAAACTTCTTACTATCTCTTATCAATATTTCATATGTCGTTATCGATATAATCAGTAAGATATATCAAGACCTTTAAAGAAATGATTAAGATACTTTCAATCGTTCATTTATTATATTGTTTTTAGCTTTATTTACTATTTCTATTACATTTACTATTTAAATCATCTCAAATCTAAAAAAAACATGTAAATCATTATATTTTTATGTTTTTGTATTTTCGAAATATGTAAGTTGAATACTGACAGCTTGAGAATAATATCCCAACAACTATTTTCAACATAGAATACTAAAGGTATCATTCCGTTGATATTGAAACCAATCCACGATGTTAAGTGCTGGCTGAAATGTGCTACTAATAATATGTTATTTATTAGTGGAGTAATAAAACACCAGAAAAATGTGTGAACATAAAAAGTCAAGTACGGCTTTGGGTCACTTGGTTAAGGTGCACTGATTCTGAACTTCACATTCACATTCACATTCACGCGATTTCGAACCCTGGTACTTGCAGTCTCAAAAAAAAAACATTATTTACGAATAATTAAATACAAGAATAATTTCCAAGACCACTGAGGATGGGTACTTGGCAATACTCGAAACAGTTGTATGGTTAGCCAAAAATTCAATTAATTAAAATAATATAAAATGAAATATATATATATATATATATATATATATATATATATATATATATATATATATGTATATTACATCACTCAATAAGTCGTGTGACTGACACACAGATAGCGCTGTCATTGTCAAATCCATATAACGTTTATGAAGTACCAACCTTCAAAAGGTTATGTGTAAAATTTCATGAAACAAAGTGATAGCCATTTAAGTGAAGCTACTTTTGTTGTTTTCAAAACAATGGATTCAAAACAATTTCGTGTGTTAATTTATAATTGCTTCTTGGTAAAAAAAAAAACACTGTACAAGCTCAGCAATGGTTTCAAAAGTGTTATCCGGACTCTGCTCCATCGAAAAGAACCATTTGTTATTGGTTTCCTGAATTTAAATGTGGTCGTACAGACACCGATGATGGTGAACGTTCTGGTCATCCAATTAAAGTCGTAACTCCAGAAAACATTAAAAAAATCCAGAAATTGGTTATATCTGATCGTAAATTGAAACTGCGTGAGATAGCTAAGACCGTAAAGATATCAGAAGGTAGTGTGCTTACAATTATGCATGAACATTTGACCATTTGATCGATCAAATACAGTAACGTGTTGATGATTCAGAGCAGTGTTTGGCCATGTTTACATGTAATAAATTAGATTTTTTGTGTCAATATGTGACAATGGATGAAACATGGATCCATCACTACAGTCCGGAATCAAAACGATCTTCATCTGAGTAGACTGGAGCCGGTGAACCACGTCCGAAGCGTCCAAATGCACAACAGTCAGCTGGGAAGGTTATGGCTTCAGTATTTTGGGATGCACATGGTATAATCTTGATTGACTATCCTTAAAAGGAAAAAACCATCAATAGTAAGTACTACACGGCATTACTGGATCGTTTAAAAACAGAAATTGTCAAAAAACGACCGCATATAGCGAAGAAAAAATTTTGTTTGACCAAGACGATGTCACAAGTCAATAAAATCGAAGGCAAAATTGCACGAATTACACTTCAAATTGCTTCCTCTTCTACCGTATAGACCAGATCTGCGATTACTGGCCCTTCGCTGATCTTAAAAAATGCTCGCCGCTAAGAAATTCATCTCAAATGAAGAAGCAATTGCTGAAACTGAAGCCTATTTTAAGGTAAAAGACAAATAATTCTACAGGCATGGCATCGAGAAGTTAGAGAAGCGTTGGAATGATTGTATTGCCCTTCAAGGAGATTATATTGATGAGTAAAATCGATTTTTGGCAGAAAAAATTTGTTTTTCTTAGTGAGTCTTTATAAAATGTATAAAACTTTTCTTTTATTTAAATTTTTTCTTAATATTTAATTTTATTTTATATATCAATTTCTATAATTTAAATATCAACAAATATTTTTTCTATCCCATTTAGTATTTATTTCAATATTTTTGCATAGTGTTCCTTATGAGTATACTTAAACCGTAGAACAACACTAAAAATAAGATATAATATATATATAGTATTAATTTAATTAAATCAACAAATTTATTAATTAAAAATATATAATACTTACATACAACATACCAATGCAATTCCATAAAATCCAGCGCTCACCAAATTAAATAGACCTGGGAAAGTTGATAGAGACTGTTTATAAATAAAAGTATATAAAGGAGCAGCTAGAAAAGGTGCTACGGATTGTAATACATTTTTAATAGAAAATATTTTGCCTAAAATAATTAAAAATTGTTATTTTTGCATCCATTTAAAAATTATTACATATTATTATTTACCTAAATCAGTTGCAGGCACTATATTTGAAACAATTGTACGACACATTGGTGGACCCACAGATCTAAAGGAACCTAATGCGGTAGCCAAATATAGATGCCAAGGTTCGCTAGCAAAACCTCTTGCAAAACTTGCAGCTATGTCACTTACATATGACACTATAGCCACTGCAACGATTGACATTTTGAAAACCTTTAAAACAAAATATAATATAAAAAATAAATTAACTGAAAATTATTAATTATATTATAATAACTAATAATAATAAAATTTTTTATATTATGTATTTTATATTATTTATTTATATTATTTGTTAAAATAAAGCCCTAAGCAAGAAGTCACTAAAACTTTAAAATATCAAAGATATAAATCTGATTAAATTTATTTAAAAATTATAACAAAAAAAAAATTTCAAATAAATAAAAAATTATATACGAAGAACTAGACCAACAGGTGTTACCAAATGTCACAAATAATGGATATTGAACGGTATTTGCATCAGTAATATGAGCCACCAAAAAATTTATATAATTAAAGAATAAATTTTTGGATTTGAAAATGTTAACATTAAATATTTAATTATGACTCATTTTATAATATATACTGAAATTCATAAATTAGATACTAGAACTTGTTCTAAAAGATTTTTATTACAGATATATTCAAGTCTTAATCGATTGTTGTAATTATTAACACATGATATAGCCAAATAGATAAATGATTATCAATTAACAACCAATTCAACCTTTCGAATGCACTCCAAAGTATCTCTCATTGAGGATTCCTTAAAGTCAGGATACAGTAAAAAGTCCGTAACTAAAGAATGAGTTTCATCTCCTTCCAAGCTAAGACCACATTTTCTAATCTCAGACGGGCTCATTCTAATGACTTGGTAACTTTGATTCTAATATGGTAACAAGTACCTTGCCAACAACTTAAGCCTACAGATATTATCAATAATAAAAATACATACATTTCTAGGACAAAAATAGAAATAAAATAACTTTTGAAAATACATATTAGTAGATAAATATTTAAATATAAAATTTTTTCGAGAAACATCAGAAAAATAATAATTTTAAAATAAATTTTTTTTTAAATCTAATTAAATATTTCATATAAAAAACAATATATGAGAATTTAATAATACTATCTTATTTTTATTACCTTTCTTAATATAAGAAACCCAACCAGAGCTCCAAACATTGGTGTCATATGACTAACAGTTTCATAAAATGTAAATTCACGTACAGTCCAATGAAACTTTTCCCTCACAAACAAATAGAACACGGTCATAGCGCCATCTATAATTGTAAAACAAAAACAAAAAAAATATATAAATAATAAATAAATAAAAAATAATTTTTTAATAAGTTTTGAATTATTACTGGGGTTTAGGTCGCTTATTTAACACATACAATTATTAAAATGTTTTTTTCTAATTTTTTATTTAAAAAAATATTTTTACAATTTTATGTGTTAAATAAACAATCTAAGCTTAGTAATAATCCCAAATTTATTATTTAAAAAATATAAAAGTATTTTTATGCCCCTACCAAATATAAAAATACCAACAAAAAGTACACTAGTCAGAAGCCAAATAATACAGCGATCATAGCAAGGACGTTTCTTAAAAGAAGTGTTTATCATATCCTTAATATGCTGATAACTGAATATATTAGAAAATTTGTTGCCTTTAGGTTTTTCTTCCTCTATGGGTTTTTCGTTACTTTCAACTTTTTTTGTACTCTCCAAATTTGGAGTAAATACAGCTTCTATATTACCACAAGTAGATTTCGTTTTATCACAACTCAACTGCATATCATTGGTTTTGTTTTCTATATCTTTTTCATTGTCGTCGTTATCCACCTTATAGTGTAAACTTTCTGGTACAAAGAAAATTACAAAGACCGTTGCACTAGTCATAAAAAATGCAGATACCGAGAATACTGTGGTTGCACTTGTTGCTTCATATAAATAACTTGAAAGTAAGGCACCAGTAGTAAAACCAATAAATAAGTACACTTCTATAAAGATCATTCTGAAATATATGAAAAAATATATAATAAATAGTGCTGAAATATTTTATTACTCTTATAAAAATATTAACGACCAATGCACTAATACAATTATGTTATAACATAAAATTTTTTCATATACTCACCTGTAGGGTCTTGTCTTTGTATCAGTGACATCAGATATAAAACAGAATCCTGCTACCATAAGAACACAGTTTCCTCCTAAGAATGAGTGAGGCATTGCAGCTAAAATGTAGTACCATGGATTTACTGGATAATACGAAGATATTTCGCATATAATGGCTGTTATAATAAATGTGCAAGAAAATCCTTTAAAAAAGTAAACAATATTATATACAGATTACCTAAATATGGTTGTATTTTTTATTACCTATCATTGCTATTATCAGTAAGGGTTTTCGTCCATATTGATCAGACCAAGAACCAATAAAAATGCCGCAAATAGCTGGAACAATACTTTCAAGCAATGTACGCATCATGAATAAGTCTGCAACATACTGTTGCACCTCCGATTCAATTTTCTAAAGAGAGAAGAATAATATAATATGTTTTTTCTCTATAATACTTTAATATTCTAGTAATAATTTCTTTTCCTATATTTCTGAACTTATTTAATATATGTGTACGAATTGTACAGTTTCTATTTGTCGGTAACAGATAACAAGGGGTTATGAACGATCTTGAGCTTCGGAGAAAAACATTTAATTAATGGGTTAATTAAATTTATAATAAACTTCTGTAAAACCAGAATATGTTAGAAGCATAGATTTGGTCAAATGAGGGCCTACTTGACAATGCTTCCACTTTAAATCTATCCAAATATTACTTCACTGTTCAGATAGTTTTGAAAAATTTTTATAATAATATATATGTACATAGAATACCTGCCACCATTAATTCAATAAATTAAATTTAATTAATTAAAATAAATTAATTGCTACAATGAAAAATAAAAATTCTAAAATTAAATAGAATAAAAGTCTATTATTCCAAAAAGAATTAAAAAGGGAAATACAAAACTATTTTGAATATAAGTTACTTAATAGTCTTATTTTTATTCAAATTTGATTTACTAGGTTCAGAAAAAGTCCCAATGCAAAGTTTCTTATTTTCACAGAAGATCATAATCACATACGTAAGGTTTAGAGTGATAATTGCTTTGTGAAGTAGAAATAATTTTAATTATAATATAAACTAATTGAATATTTCAAATGAATTAAAAAACTTCTTTTTTATTTATTTTACTAACATTAAGGTTTTAAATTATTTTTTTTCTTTATTGTTTTTTTATATAATAAATGAGAATGAGAGTTCGTCTATACCCCACAACAACTTTTGCCGTGGGAGTGGCTCTACGCAATAGGAGCAAAAATATAGAGCCTAGTTTATAGATTTATCAGGTTAGTTCATTTTTACTTAGCGGGGGAAGTAGAACGTTTTTTTATATTATCTGAACACCTTTTCAGGAGAATGAACTACTTTTATCCATGGTATCAAACAAAGACAATTGCTTGAACACTTATGCTCTATACGACTTTAAGTTTCAATAAGTATGCTACATTTTATGTAGTCTAAAAAATCAAGGAGTTATTAAGAAAGTGTTAGATGATTATATTACCTGCAGAAATGGAATTGTGACATGCCTCCGTGAATCGTACAATTTCCTACTGTTTGAACATTTATGTGGAAGTATTTGAAGACATTAATTTATTAAAAGAAATTTAGAGTGAATATTAAATATTCCACGAAGTCATGAAAAACTGGAACTCCAACGCTAAATTTAAAGATGTTTCTATAGCAGATTATTCAGCAGATAATTCAGCGGAAAATTCGCGGAAGCATTCATCGTCATTAGTGCCATCCAATTTCATTTACATATACTTATATTGTAGAATAATGAAATATTTGACTAACTTTGTCAAATTGTATTTCTTTTATTTTAATTTTAAATCCTAAAACTGTTAAAAAACACCCTTTAATAATAATTTTTTTTCTTAAATAATAGAAAAAAATCTAATCAGATCTTAATGGATATTCAAAAACATTTGTTCTTCATTATTAAAACGGGTACATATATAATATGCATCAATAATTGAATCATTAAAAGTAAATATCTAACTTGAAAATTGAACTGATTTGTTTGTATATCGAGAAACATGTAATGTAAATATTTTTACAATATTTTATAAATTAAAATAAATATTTATTTTTATTGTATAAAACTTTCTATTCAATAGTATATATACTCTTGATAGGTTTTATTTATTTTATTTGAAACGGAATGTGAACCAATTATTTTGTAAAAAAACTAATAAATTATCGACGTTTTCATTCATCGTTATTGAGATACGATGTTCACCCTACGAAAAACCTATAGTAACATTTGGATATTAGTTAACTTCTTATGCTAAGATGATATATTATATTTTCTTAAATCCATTTTAAGTTGATTTGTTCGCTTCAATTAATTTTGTTATCTAATTCATCGAAACATGAAATTCCATATGTAAATCAAATAAAATATAATACATTTCATTTGAATCCAAAACATATTTTCATCTCCCCAGTACGAATCATCCAAGTAAATTAATCATCGAGATTAATATTATGTACATGACAAATACAAAAGAAAGCGTTGGAGTAAATTAACTCTTTCTTTGTCGAATTTCAAACACCCTTCACACAGACATATTAAGAATTTGTTTACGAAAGATAATTGTATAGGAATTTAATCTAACATCAACAAATGTTTAGTTGCTTAATTCCATGAAAATATATTTAGAACTGAGAGTTGTTCTTATAGGAAATTGAATCTAAATACCTAATTTATACAATACCAACCAATATGTAAATTTAAGTTAAACGATCTACAATCTACATTATTAAAACAATTACATGAAAGAAAAATCTTTAACGCAATTTATTAAAGAAATTAAATCAGATATTGAAATGGTTTCCATTCTTCGTAGATAATTTTTAATTCCTTTTTAAATGTAATAAAATTTAAATCAATAAATTTATTCCTCTGCGAACTAAATAATTATTTGCATTTATATTTGAAAAAAAATTAAATGTAGTTGATCGGTTCTAATGGTAGCCCAACTGACATGCTTCAACATTTCATAGTCATAATAGAGATCATTCGTTGTTTTCCTATGACATTATTCGCAATAAATTCAAAGAGATAAAAAATTGATCCATTCTTTAGAAATTAAGTAATTCAATAGATCGCGTGTTCTTACTAATAAACAGCCCGATAAACTGACAATTACGTATTTCTCCCATTTCTCTAATACGTAATTGTCAGTTCATCGAGCTGTGCATTGGTAAGGACACGCGATCTATTGAATTACTTAATTTCTAGAGGATGGATCTATTTTTTTTGGGTGCGAAACTGAACAATCCAAGTTACCACAACTTTTATAATGATTGTTAAAAGAAATACGCGGTTTCTCTACGTGAGTTCCTAAATAACATCGACTAAAGTGAAATACAATTACAAATAAGTTCTCATTATCTGGTCTTGTTATACGAAAGCCAGGTCGGTCGGATAGTTATGCATGCCATAAGTGTGTTCCACCTTTTATTGACTAGGTGAAGAAAGTAGGGGTAAATATTTCTCTTAAATATGCATGAAAACATAAGGTGGAAACCCAAACTATACGTGTAGTGAATCACCAAAATAGACCAAGCTGCTTGCATTTCAATTCATGTCAATATTGAGTATCTGTGTACCCAGATGAGAGTCATATTAGCAAATATGTACAGCGCGCTAAAATCTGCTCTGAACTCTTCAACAAGTTTTGATTTTATCATGGTGGATTAAAGAACACAAAACAAATACATTTGAATATAATATATACATTTATCTGTATATACTCATACGTATTTAACAACCAAATGAATAATAATACAGGTAGCAGCAGTATATTATTTTACTTCTTAAATAAATAGTCCTTATCTATTTATTTTACTATACTTTTGTTATATTTATACTTTTTAAATTATATTTTTATTTATGTTTGTCAGTATCTTAATTTTTTAATGTAATCGAATATATCTATTAAGATTAATATTTGCAAATACTAGTATATATATGTATATATATATATATACATAAAACGGAAGTAGCAGCATTGAATAAATACAGATAATGAAAGAAATATCTGTATTACCGTTAAATATTTTATCTTAAAAAATCTTCCGTAAACATAAACACAAGAATAAAACGGGAACAAGAAAACATTGGATAGATGTAGTACAAGGTAACCAAATGCAGGCGTCGTACCTGGAAACCGAGAGCAATTAACAAACTATAAATATAAAAGCATTTTCGACAATACTGAACTTCTATAATGCTATTATCTATAACCGAAATTTTAATAAAATTTTTTTATTTTTTTAAAGTGTAAAGAAAATAAAACATAAGATATGCAAGCTCTTGTATTTAATTGGCATTATCAGATTAAATTATTTAATCAGCATTCAAACCGATTTGGTTAAATTTAAATTGGTAGGTACGAGTACTGTTTATTAGAAGTTAACACTTTCAATAATTGAAATAGGATCCAGTAAATGGATAAGGATTATAAAACTATATCGTTTTTGTGCTTAATTATTAATTAGCTTAAAATCTATGGTGAAAGTTCAGTATGAAATTTTTACTACAAATAGGCTGACTCTGACCAACGTTTAAAGTTCTTTCATATTATAATATCTAGGACTTCTGGCGCTTCCCTGATCTAAAACATATTGATTTATTTATATTCTTTAACACCAACATAAAAACAATTATTATGTGTATCTATGAAATAATCGAAACTACGCACCTTCAATAACAGTTTTTTGGAGAAGAATGTGCAGTATATATTATATATGGAAAAAACTTAATTCAAATAAAAAGAAATTATGGGAAGTAAGAATACGCTTTAGAAATAAAAACATAATATATATATTTGGCACTTTCATAAGAACTCAAAGAATCAAGGACAATAACGAAATCAAAGAAGAACGAATATCAACGTTTGTGACAGGAAATTAAAACGCCTTTGAATAACGAGTCAGATGGACGGAATTTGTTTCTATTATATGTAGTACAAAGGAACATCGTAGGAAACGAGAAAGCTGACAGTTTGGCTCGATCTGGTGAGTCCCTTGTTGCGTCACTGGCGGTACCGGTTTATATTACCCTAGAGACCATTAAGAGAAGTACCTTCCTCTACTTTACGCAACTTGTCAATAATAGATGGAAAGCACACATATCATGTGCAACTTCCAAGTTAACATAGTCCACCTATAATAAAAATAAATCCTCGGAACTCATCAAAAAAGACCGCGTAAACATTTCAAGGCTTACTGCAGTTCTGCCCGGCTTTGGCGTCCAGAAGATATAGGTTCTTAGGAAAATACTTCTTTGGCGAGATGGATTTAGTCTCTACTCTTCTATACTAGGGTTCTTGCGAGAAATGTGGTAGTAAAACGGCGAAAAATGTTCTGTCTCTCTAGTAAATTCTTTTGCTTTTAATACTCGCAGCTCTGTGAAGAAATTAATATTAATAATTGAACCTTCAATGTTTAATGAATCATTTATCTGATTCAATTCTACACAAAAACCACATAAAAACTTTAAATTATACTTTATTTTTATCTAAAAGCAACTTAAGGCATATAGGAATTTATCATACCCAATTCCTGTGAATAATATTAATATCATTTGGTTCTATCTAATAATTCTAGAGACCAGTTTTTTATAGTTTAAACTTGTATCTTAACGTCATTTGCAGTTTTATTGATATGACATAAGTAGTACAGAAATTATTAAATTTATTGTAATGACGATGTATTTCCAAAGATCATGTGAAGTGGTATACTTTTATATATATACTATATAAATATTTGTTTGTTAAGAATATGGTGGTATATGGTATATATCTATGGTACATTATGATGTGAAAAATTAATTTGTCATGCAATTAAAAATTAACAATTTTTTAAGTAAAATTTTATTTAGTTGTAATTATTTATGCGTACTAGAAAAATTTTAACAAATATTAGTTTTGACACAATCCATAATACTAAATAGATTCAGTCAAGTTTTGGATGCAATGAAAGTTATTGTGATTTCTTTGGAAACAAAATTTTTGAAAGTAAATTTCACTACTGGATTAATATCTATGTACTATATATAATACATGCTGCAGTTATATATTTTAATTTGAAATGTGATTTATTTATATTGATGTAGTATATAAATACGGAAGTTATCACAGCGAGAAGAGTTGCACGTCAGAGCATTCGAGAAGAAGGTTTAAACAAAATATTACAATGCATACGACGAAACGGCGAACACAGACCGCACACTAACGATAAATTCAGAATGCACAATGACTTGATTGGGTGAGTCAAGTCCTTAGAATAAAAGACAGAAAACCACAGAAACAAATATCAATATCCAATAATGCAGTTAAACGACTCAACTTGAGATGGTTGAACAATGTTAGTGAAAATGTTCAAAGCAGGAACAATATTGAAGAAATATGGTATTTGATAAATGAGAATAAACAAAGATGGGTGATAAAACTAAATCTCTCGATTAGCTGTAAAGCTTATAATGATGATGAATTCATATCATGTCATATTAAGAAAGCCTTTACCATATAATGTTATTATCCGATTTAAGGCTTCTTCAAAATTCGGTGTTCTGGTCAAGCTACTCTACTTTAAATTCTAACAAATACAGCAACAACAAATTAATACCGGAGTAGAAGGATGCAGTATACTAATATCTACTATAACTAAAGTGTACATATATTCACTATTAACACAATATATATTTCACTTACTTACGTTCAAACGTTCACTGACATTTTTGGTTCCCAGTTGCTTGCAATCGGTTTCATTATAGTCAAAGACCACGGTACAAGCTTGAAAGAGCACCTGATTTTTCATTATGGTACCTTTATAAGAAAGGTATTATTAAAAATAGTGATCATTTACAATTTTAATTTTTACTGGAATGCTATGCTATATCAATTACATACCCGATAAGCTCATAGAAAACACAAGAGCAAAAACGATGGGTTCTATATAAAACATATTGAATATTTTGTGCCATTCCAATTTTTTCAGGCGTTCCAAACCAACATTTTTTACAATTTCCACCATTTTTAAACTGTGATTTATATATATATGTTATTATTTATATATTTATATATTTATTTAAAATATAAATTCTTTTAAAGATCAGGAACTAAACTTATTATTCTCACTTTAAATGCTTATAACATTTGTTCTATTTGTTTTAATGGTTTAATTGATTTATATATTACATATATCTTTATTGCATTTTATAAAATTCAATTTATTTAATTTGTCAAAAATTAGTCCCGTGCTGACACGTAACGGACTCTGGTAATTTATTCATTCCGATTGAAGTTCCACTCACGAATAGTTTGTGCTTCTACTGAAACGCACATAACCGTCAAAAATCACAACTATTGAATAACTAACTTCATTGTGTTCTCTATCGGCGCAAAGATCGTCTATTGAAGTACGTATATATACATTATTTTATCTGTTCGGATGTGAGTATGAAATTAATATATGTTTGTTATGGATTCACTAGTGCGGCAAATCAATAATTATTTGCATTAATTTTTTTACATTTAAGTATTTATTTGTTTTTATTCACAATCGTTTGTATATATTTTAATACAAAAAGTTATAGTTTTCTATGAATCTCAGCTGAAATGAAAGCTGAGCTCTGTTGTTACTTTGAACCGTGTCTCTTCGACACTAGTTGTAGACTAAAAGAGCTGTTGGATTTTATGTTGATATAATTTATCTTTTTTTAAACATTTTTGGGGAATAACCAGAAGTGTAATTCAATACCAGTTGGTATGTTTACCAATTTAAAAATTATTTATAAATTTAATATTTGATAAAGATATTCAGTTAAAAACCAAAATAATTGTTTACGCATTAACCATAAATAAACAGATAAACAGAAGATAATAATGTTTAAAAAAATATTTTGGAATAACTCCCAGATGTTAATGATGATTACTTTTATGATCACAAAACCTAACACTTATAACTTATAACATCAATGAAACATATTAAAAGTCAATGAGTATACATACATTATTATAATTTTTGTTTAAAGATTTTATATATATATAACAGAATCTAAGCCTACCATTAATTATATAGCTTGTTTGGCTTTTTCTAGTAATGGAAATTAATAGTTATCTAATAAGATATTACTAGATATTATCTTATTATCGATAAGATCTATATATATTATCTATAAGATACCAATCCTTAACCATCACTTTGAAATAGACTTCTGAATCTATCATCACTGAATTTTAAATTTCACCTTATTTGTCTCTATTTTTAACACAGATTTTTTCTAGAACATGCTGTTTAAGAATCTATTGTTTTATGCTATATCAACAGAATAACAAAAATTATTAAGATATGCTCGTATACTGGCTAGTTTTCTAGAATATAAAAATTTGTGACATCATATTATCTTAAGTCTTAATAAAATCTCTTCTCAATTAATTACTCCGAACAGTATTCAGATATTCAATCAGATATTGTTTTCTATTTGGTACCTAATTTGTTTTATCTAAAAACATTAATATGTCATAAGCCAACTAAAAGCGTAAACTAAACTTAAAGCTCTGAATCTACTTGTGATTAAGAAGAAATAGAATTAATATTATATTCCTTCTAAATCCAAAACTATCACATTGCACTAGACTCCGAGATGATTTTGACTTACTCCACAATTTTGTTATTTAACTCCGACTAAAACTTCTTATCTCTTATCTCTTATCAATAGTTCACATGTCGTAATCGACATAATCAGTAAGATATATCAAGACCTTTAAAGAAATACTGACAACTTGAGAATAATATCCCAACAACTATTTTCACCACAGAATACTAAAGGTATCATTCCGTTGATATTGAAAACAATCCGTGATGTTAAATACTAGCTGATATATGCTACTAATAAATTACATAGGTTAATATATGTTATAATTAATGTATGTTATTTATAATATAGGTTAGGTTAGGTTGAAGTGGTAATCTTCTACACCAAATTCCACTAGAGCTCGAATAATGGCTCGTTCTGACATCACGTGGCGTTGTCCATACCCAGACCAAAACATATACAAAAGAAGTGCAGTGATTAGCGTACAAACAACGCTAAATATACTAACCTCTCAAGCCTATAAACTTAACCACGTCCCTAATTTGATAGGATGACAGGTCAATAAAAAATGGTACCCCAAAGATTTTTATCTTCTATCGGCCAAAGATCCACACTGATAAAGAATGTGAATCACGGATTCCTTCTCTTCTTCAATACAAAAATTGCCATAAATGTTGTTATGGAGTAGATCAAATCTTATGAGATGACATGTCTTCCTTGTCCGCAGTAACCTATCAGCACCAAGACTGTAGTGATGTTGGTTAGTAGGTGTAATTAGTATTGATGAAAATTGGAAAGCTGGATAGATGTAGACACCGCATCCACATACAGAAACTGCGTAGTTGTTTACAGGTTACTTTAAACCAATCAATCTAATCTTAGAATCCCAATGTAAAATGTTCGTAACAACTTTAAACTTTTAGTTTTTATTATTATAATTATTTATTTTTCAAAAAGCGTTTTTAAATTTTGTTTATATAAATATTTTTTTTATCTATCTTAAGCCAATGTTTCTACAGCATTCATAATATTGTTTTGGGAATCATCGAGTTATCTGACTATTCTCGTCTAGAATATTATAAGATTTCTTTTATAAATCTGATATAAAATAAAATCACTTATAATTATCTTATATTATTTCAAACTGACCTCATCGATAAAATGCTTAAAGGGATACAATCTTACGAATATGATCAGTCAAATATTTGCAAATATGACCTATTTTAACAATTTTTTTTAAATACTTTGTAACATATATCCCTTCTAAAAGAGTTAATTTTTTTACTCATATAATTAAATGATGATCTCACGTATTAAATTAATAACCTGTACCAATTTTTTTTGTGGTGTAGATTAATTTAATTTAAAATTAATCATATAATTGTTAATAATTATGTATTTAAAAATTGTATGTACTACAATATCACTAATATAATAGGCAATAGGGTTATATTTGCTTTCTACATTGCAGACAGTTTATATATTAACCATGGGCTCTTTCACTTTGTCAATACTCACTGTCTCTCGAAGAAAACAAACAAGACGCACTATAAATTTTAATAATTTTTTAAACAAATTTTGGGTAGTTCGTAAAAAAATTAGGTAAAATACATATTAAAAATTAATTTCACAGAGCAATAAAAATACAATGACTTGCATGTTTTTTTTTAGATTTTAGATGATCAAAATAGTATACCTAAAATGTCTGGCAGTGCCATCCAAATTTATTTAAATTTCGTTTAATTGGAATAAAATTACTTATTAATTTAGTAAACATCAATTTCTGGATTAAGGTATAATAATTTGATAATTATTAATAATATATTACTAATTTTTTTAAAGATATGTTGTGATTATGTTGTTTGACATATTGAATGATTACTCATCTGTCATTAAAACATACTAAAAGCGATTATATCAAAATTATATCAAAATTTTATTATAGATAGATATATAAATAGAATCTAAAACATTGATATATTTATAAATATTATGGCTGACTTATACGAGTTGGTGTCAATCGGGACCGGTGTTCTAATTTGTTATTGGACTTGTTAGTTTCTCACTGGAAATGTGAAATGATTTCATTATTTCTGTGGACCTACTTAAATCTTTCTATTTAAAGTTAATGGGTGTAAACGTAAATTTAGTCGGGTTAGTGTTGTATTAAGTACACAATTTAAAATTTAAGCTAAATATAATGGTTTGACTTCTAATTTTTCAGCTAAATTAACGGAAAATAGCATCCCAAAACAATATTTTGAGGATAATCTTTAAAAGTAAGTTATATTAAAATAATGGTATGAATAGTAATCAAATTTTTAGGTTATTCAAAATACGTGATTGAAAAATCTTTTAAAACTCGTATCCACGTTCTAACACATGAAAAATTGAATAAAAAAACATAAAATTATTATAAATTTTATAATAGTGAATTAGACCATCTTAAATATTTTAGAATTAAAAAAATTTTAATATTTATAAATATATCTATAAAATCAAAAATGTGATTATAATTATAGAACGTTTCTCTACAGAACGTATAGAAAGGTTCTCTATAAAATGTATAGAAAGGTTCTCTATAAAATGTATAGAAAGATTCTCTATAGGACATATAGAAAGGTTCTCTACAGAACGTACAGAAAGGTTCTCTACAGAACGTATAACGTAAAAACGTAAAAAAAAATTAATGTTCATAAATACATCTATAAAATCAAAAATGTGATTATAATTATAGAAAGGTTCTCTATATAATGTATAAAAAGGTTCTCTACAGAACGTATAGAATGATTCTCTGCAGAACGTATAGAAAAGTTCTCTACGGAACGAATAGATAGCTTCTCTATAGAACGTATGGAAAAATTTTCTATAGAACGTATAGAAAGGTTCTCTACAGAACGTATAAAATGATTCTCTGCAGAACGTATAGAAAAGTTTTCTATAGAACATATAAAAAGGTTTTCTATAGAACGTATAAAAAGATTCTCTACAGAATGTATAGAAAGGTTCTCTATAGAATTCATAGAAATATAGAATTCATAGAAAGATTCTTTAAAATTGAAAAAACGTAGTGTTTAAATAAAATTCGTTGCAGAAAAGCCTTCGCTAAAATGGAGTTTGTAATAGAGAAGTAAGATATATAAGAATTATATATCAGGTTATTTAAAAACTCATTATTTGAATAGAATAAAACTTATTTTAACTTTAAATGAATTTCGAATTTCGTGCTTTACAAAAACTTGAAATCACATTTTAATTAGCACGTGACATGTGTTTCTAATAACCTGACAAAAAAAAATTTAACAATCGAAATTTGGATTAAAATAAAACAAAAAACAAAATATTAATTAAATTAAAAACATTTATTCAAAAAAAAAGTAATTTTATTTCTAATAATTCTAGTAATCTAAAATAATTAAGTTGATATCGTTTCGTAATGCGCAGGAAAGCTTTGTTGTTTACGCAAAATTAAGCTGAAAATAAATTTTTTTTATTGAAAATTATTCAAATATTTTAAATAAATTTAACAAAATAATAGCACTTAAATACTTACAGTAAAAATGCAATTGCTAAAATAAACATAAAAGCGCTGATTAAATTGAAAAAGCCTGGAAAAGTTGCCAATGTGATGCTATAAATAATTGTGTAAATGGGGGAAGCTACAAATGGTACTAAAGACTGCAAAACACTATTTAAAGCAAAAATTTTGCCTAAAATTAAAAATAAAATTTAATTAATTTTATAATCAAATGTATCATTTCATAATAAATTTTTTTAAAAATGTGAATATATTTATCATTAGCTTAGAGAGGTAGGTAGGTAGGTTGAAGTAGCGGCCTTGTTTACCAAGAAAGCCCACTTGAGCACAAATAATGGCCCGTTGTGGTACCACAAGGAAAAAGCGATGTTCGTATATAGACAAGGTGATCAGTATACAACCAAAGCCCAGCAGAGAGAAAGGCTCTTTAAATGGTGAACCTCTATAACATTTTGTTAGAGAAAAGAGGCCCAAAGGTCTTTCTTCCATGGGCCAAAGGTCTTTCTTCCATATTATTCTTCCAGAATAATATTTACAGTATTAAAATGCAAAACTCACCTAATTCCTCTGCTGGTACGACTGATGCGAGTATCGTCCTACACATTGGATTAGCCATAGATTTGAGTGCCCCAAACCCGATTGCTAAATAAATTTGTAGATTGCTTAAGGCAAATGCTTTCATGAAGCTACTGCCGACTTGACTTAGAAATGCTAATATACCAATTGTAATGACTGACAGTTGTAGGCACTAAAAATATTTGTAATTAAAAAATTAATATCTATATTTAATTTAAACTTAAATAAAGCTTTTGAAAGTATATTTTAAATAGAAAGATTTTAAACAATAGTGAATTTTATTTTAATTTATCGCGGAAAAGTTTAACTTTTCTGTAATAATAATGTAACGAACTATAGTTAAGATAATAAATATATGCATAAATATAAAGACTCTATAAAAACAATAGTACCAAATTCTAAGAACAATAACTATAATCAGTTTATTCAATTTTCAATTTCTTTCTAACATTCTCGTAATACAGCAAGTGAACTTGTTAATGAACATTTCCGACTAAAAATTGGTAAAGAATAACCGTCACAGTGACCATACCTGATAAGGGTAAGTTATGGAATATAGCAAGGCGTTAATCGGTCCATGCAGTTTTCTTCTTTCAAACGTTTAATCTTTTTAGAACACGGACCTTGTAAGATATAATAGCCAGATTTTCAATAAAAAATGGTATACTACTCCCTGATTACGACCGTATGCAAAACTGTTATCAGAGATATATCACAAAACCCTTTTTTGCTTCTAATTTGGAACGTGTATAACTTTCTGAGCTCGTGAATTAAATCAACGGTTATATATTCGTCATTTAAAATTCATACAACAGATACGGCAATTATTTTTTAATCCGGGGCAGAATACATATTATCATAGTTATCATAGTCAGACTTAAAAACCTGATGCATACTGGATAAAGAAAAATTAATCCGATTTTTAAATGCATGCTGACCATAATTTATTATGGTTTGATTATCAAGACCAAATCAGGGATAGGTTCTGGTCTTATTAAAATTATAATTATGATGCCTATTTTTATAATTATAATAACCTGAACAATATAATTCAGTTCAGAATCTTAATTTTAGTACTATTTTCCAGATACGTTTAGTTTGAAAGTATTATCTTTACTTTAAATTCGATAAGATTTGAGTTCAAACCCTAGTACTTGTTGTCTACAAAATTATTTAGGAATAATAAAATCTAAAAAATATTTGGAAAAACTACTGGTTGTTTAGAAATTTAAAAAAACAGTCATTTGCTTAGCCATACAATTAATTCAATTAATCAAAAGTAATGTTTTGTTATTGTATTTCACTACTGTTCCAAACTTTTCTAATTAAAATTAAACTAAACTTAAATATTGTAATATTGTACATACTTTTCGTAAGAACCAAATACCCAGTAGATTACCCAAAATTGGTACTAAAATACTGATGGTTTCATACATTGTAAATTCTTTAACAGTCCAATGAAACTGTTCCCTTATAAAAAGATAAAAAACTGTAGTCGAACCTCCTGTAATTAATATTTAACATTTTTAATATGCAAGTTATAATTATAAACATAAAAAATACTTTATGTTATTTACCCACTACAAATACTGTTATCTGCAAACAGCAAATCGTTAACCATATAATGCCGAGATTATTGAAAGGTCTTTCTTTAAAACATGTTGTCCACATATCTTTAAAATGGCTTAATTCAAACAGTTTGTTTGTATTTGATTCGTGAGCTGTATTATCTTCCGTCCTTTCAACTATAGGCTGTGCTTGGCGCAAGTTTAAACTCTCTGGTATAAAGATTAAGAGAATTACAGTAGCAAAAGCAATGGAGCTAGCCGATACTGTAAAAACAATAGTTGAATTAGTCGCTTCGTATAAAAATCCGGCAGTAAAAGAGCCCAACATTAATCCAATATATATAGCAGCTTCATATATTGTCATACTGTAAATATATACATAAAATAATCATATTAATATTATAGAAATTTACTAACCGATAGGGCCTTTCTTCCGCTGTGGAAACGTCAGAAATGAAACAAATTGCCGCCACATTGTAAGTTACACTGCCTCCTAAAATTGAATGCGGCAAAACTGCTAATAGATAATACCAAGGGCTAAGTAACGACATTGTTGATATATAACAAACAATTGCTATTACCGCATAATACAGAGTATACCCTTATGATGAAATATAAGTTTTAAATAGTAAATATAAATATTAAAATATGTTTAATACCTGTGAATGCAGTTACCAGTAAAGGTTTTCGACCAAAACGATCGGACCATGATCCTATGAAAGAACCACATAAAGCTGGCACAATACATTCTATGACAGTTGTTGTCATAAATATTCGTGCTGCGTATGGTTGAACAATTGTTTCAATTTGCTAATAAATATATATATAAAATGTAATTTTTATAAATTCAATATTAATAATAATTATATATTATATATATAATAATTATATATAAAGTAATTTATTTCGTAGGAAAAATTTTATTTTCTAAGGTTATCAAATTTTTATAATATGGCGTTAACGTCCTTCATAGACACATTGACTAGTTGCTTACACTTCCCATTATATATTTTAGATATTTAAAAAACGTTAATAATTAAAATTTAAGTTTATTATGAAAAATAGATTAAATCTGATGAGTTTCTAATATAAGATGACAATAAAAGGTACTATCTACTTATCCTCCTACTGGCTTATATCAAAACAAGACATGCATAAAGAATATGTATGTCCAAACGTCACATCCGCTTTAAAGCAGGAATGACGTACTATAAACTCAAACAGACTTATCTCGTACTACTATATTAGAAGTGATCATGACTTAACGTGAAGTTGGGAATCTTCTAAGTAAGATCGCTAGACGTTTCTCTAGTGTATCATTTTAGTAGTTCCGTCTTTTGGTTTATATACAGATTTTGATGAAAAAATTTATAAAGGACAAGCTAATTGCACAATTAAAGTCTACAAAATTATATCATTAACTACATGTCTTCTACTTAATTTCAGGAATTATTTTCATCGTCTCTAGTATGACTTATCAGACTTTGGCTTACTAATAGCAACAGCGTGTCATATCAGTCCATCAACTGTATCGACTAGAATTTCCAGACAAAAAGATTTAACTATTCGAAATGTAATGTATTTAGTTATTGCTTATAACCAGCCAAAATAATTGATGTTAAAACTCTTATTTGTTTACGATTATTTCACGTAATACTTGGGGATGTACTAAGACAAATTTTAACTATAAAAAAAATAAAATACATATTCCGTAACACTGAGATTTTTGTTAATGATGTTAATTGATGGCTGGCGGTATTTTTTGCCATGATGAGAAGATAATACTTAAACCACTGGTATTTTAAATCAATATTATTCTGGAATTATTGTAATTACTAATATTTTTAATTAAACTGAATTATATATTTTTTAAACATATATATATGAATATATATATATAAATTAATAGTATGTCAATAAAACTAATTGTTTATAAAAAATTAGATTTTATCAATACTAACTACTTACACCTGTAATATAATTGCTTCAATTTATTGTTATTTTAATAGATGAAGATTATACGTGATAAATTATACACAATTTTCTACATTAATCGCAACGTTTTTATTATTCATTTGGATAAATAATTTCTAGCCTAAATTTTCAACTACGCTTAAAGCTAAAATATACTAAAAAATAATTACTTTTTGCCTTTATCAGTATCAAATTTTTTTCTTTGAAATGCATTGGAAGTATACGCATGATACGAGGGCAGTTTGATAAGTCAGTGACTTTTTGAATTTCCCGCGCAGTTACTCCAACAAAGTTAATGCAACAGTGCTGCCGTCAGCTGTAATCTACCAGTGGGCAACTTTCAACGTCGTTCAGTTGGTGTTTGATAGCCGTTCAAAGCAGACAACCTAGTGAATTTTTACGAAAAAGTGAATTTCGTGTGCTGATTAAGCATTCACGAATTGGGATACGAACTGCTACCCCATCCAGCATATTCTCCAGATTTAGCCCCCTGCGACTATTTTCTGATTCCAAACCTAAAGAAATGGCTGGGCCGTAAGAGATTTGAGTCGAATGAAGAAGTCATTATCGAAACAAACGCATATTTTGAGACCTTTGAGAAAACCTATTATATGGAGGTAATAAGAAAATTAGAAAAACGCTGGACTAAATGTATCGAGCTAAAAGGTGATTATGTAGAAAAATAAAATGTTTATTTGCCGAAAAATTTTGTTTTATTCAAAAAGTCACTGACTTATCAAACCGTCCTCGTACAAAATTAGTACATACAAACAAAATCATAAAATGGCATTAATTATTATTATAATTTATCATTATAAATAATAAAAATAAACACAAAGTTCTTAATGTAGCCTATTACAAAAAAAAAATTATTGGAAGTGCTTCACACGATAAACCGAAGAACCGCATCGCTTTCATTGTCCATCCTTCTTCCCCCATTTATACCTATGATGCTTTAAGCGCTTACTCCAATTACTTGATATAACATACAGTCGGTCGAACTTATAGCTCTTTAAAAGTGGCCACTGACTATTAGGTGGTGGTTGAAGAAAAGGTATGTAACTATAGTATAAGATATCTTGAACGATGAAGTGATCATATTAATAATCCAGCCACTTGCCTTTTAGATGTAGATTTTATACTTTAAGTGATAAGTACTTAGATTAGATTAGATTATGTTGGCAGACCAAAAAGGCCACGCATAAACCATTAAGGCCCATCGCCTTATATCCTAAGTGCATCACTTAGGATATGCGTTTCATTAGCAAATTTTATAAGGATTCCAACAGAAACCTCAGGTATGTGCTCCAGTCCTGTAAAACTGACAGCCCCCAAATAATTTTGACAAGTTCTCGAGAGAGCCGGGCAATTACATAGATAGTACTTAATAACAAATGAATTTATTTTAAATTAATTATGATTAATTTAAAGTTATTCATTATTTCATATATTAGTTATCATTTTCACTTATTATTATTTGTAGATTACAAGTAAAAAATAAAAAATAATAAAAAAATAATTACATGTTATTACTTTTTTTATTTTTCGCTGTTTTATTGCCAAAAAAACATAAAATTATCTCAGTTCTTAAAAGTTATCAAAGCAAATAAATATTTATTTTATCAAAGCGGAAATAAGTCAAAGAAGTTCAATGTTATGTGAAAGATGCTCATATCTAGATCACAAATATTAATTATTTTTATATCATCATATTTGTTTTTTATGTAAATATACATATTATCATTTTTCTATACTAAATCTATGTAATTATAAAGGTAAATATAAACATACTTAATATATTTTTGTACGAAATCATAATATAATGTGAAAGCTAAGCGAATGCATTGCCAGAAAAACCTTCAAATGAAATCTATAGATTTCACTTACAGGTCAGAAAAGATATCACAAATGCAGAGAAAAATAACCAACGCAGCAGGACCAGGCTGAAGATACTGGGAAGCACTGGTAAAAAAAATGCAACCATCTTTCAAGCGGAAATATACGCGATAGATAGATGCGCCAGTTTCAACCTTGAACGTAACTAATGGAACCGTAAAATCACAATACTGACTGACAGCCAGCTAGCTATAATGGCATTCATATCCTACCAGGTAACATCCAAACTAGTATGGAAGTGCATTGATAAGCTGAACATACTCGGCTGGAACAATTAGGTACACCTAATATGGATTAGGGGACATACTGGTATTCAAGGCAATAATATTGCAGATAAACTTGCAACTCACAATCTAAAATGCAGTTAGGGACTTATAATCTAAAACGCTTTAAAGAATGCATAGCACAATCAAAAAATAACCTAAGAATTATTACGGGATTATTGACCGGTCACTGTAGAATGAATAATCACCTATCGAAATTAGGAATTCAATCCAGCTAAGACTGCAAATACTGTAGAGAAGAAAGAGAAACAGCATACCATGTGCTTGGGGAGTGCCCGGCACTGATGCACAAGCGGAAGAAACACATAGGAGGGTATTTTATGGATCATTAGGATTCAAGACTAGGAAATATATAGGCTCTATACTGTTTTTCATTAAAGAAATCGGGCTTGGAGAAACACTCTAACCAGTGTAAGGGAAACAATAGATCTTTTTTTCAAAGATCTATTGTAGAAACTTGTAGAACCTTAGCAGGTAAATAAATAATCAAGTATTTCTTCATCAGTATACCTGATTTGCTTTTCACAAGAAATAGATTTTTAAGATAACACATTGTTAAACTGATCATCGGTAAGAATAAACAATCTGTTATCTTAATTTGACAGTATGGATCTTGTTTCTATCTCTATGACTCTTGTGAGATATGTTTTAGTAAAACGAGAAATAATCGCTTATTAGAAAAACAATGCAAGGATATCTGTTAATCTGTCACTAGAACCAACTAGTCAAATAGGTGAGGAAATTAGGTATGATATTTTAGATGTCCTTAGTATTTCAGCTGTATTTTATATTTCGAATCATTAAATTAACTTCTGTTTAAGTCATATCTATGAATGTATATTAAGCAGTCTTTCAATTTTAATTCATATAAAAGTCATATTTTTAATATATACGAAACTTTACGAAAATACTCATTTTTAGAATGTCGGTGCGATATATCCACATGCATATTCTCATGAAGTCTGTCGTTTTTGTGATTATTTCTAATATCAAAACAGATTAAGTATTATTAAAATGGACTTCTAATGTAGAATTTAACTATCACAAAACGAATTGTTTGTATAATAGCACTCGATCACTATCAAAGGCACAAATAACCCAAATGTTTAGATTTCACATCGTATGTACACAAACTCTCTAAAATGTTTGTGATATATATGTAAATTAGTGTGATATGGTTTAATTTGTTAAATATTATAATATACTTTATGTAGTGTTAAAAAAAAAATTATAAAATTATTTTATATACAATACCTTTGTATGTTCACTTGCATTTTTGGTTGAAAGCAGTTTGCAATCGGTATCATTATATAAAAATACAGCTGTGCATGTCTGATAAATAATTTGGTTTTTTAAAATTGTCGCTAGAAGCAAAAAATATCAATATTACAATAATTTTATAAAATACTTTGAAATACTAACATGACAAATTATATGCAAACAGCAATATTAATACCATTGGCTCTATCAAGTAAAACTTTAAACGGCTCCATCTAAATGTATGAACCTCGTCTGTAGAATCTTCCACTTCTGAATCGCTATGTGCATCTCCATTAGCATTTGAATTGGAGGAGGTATTACTTTGTTGGTCATCTGTATCAGTTTCTTCGACATCACTTTCTTCTAAATCTTTTGTTGAATTTTTTGCTATTAGAGTCGTACGTTCATTGGGACTATCAAACATTTTTAAATAAACTTAGCGCTCGATATATTAAAACGAATGAAACACTTACTATAACTGAACTAAATCATTTCATAGAAAATTCTTTATGCAAACTGAAACCGAAGTGATACTTTATCGTCAATAAATGTCGCCTGACTCATTTCAGAGTGACTCAAGCCAACACAAGCAAATATGTTGAGCTACTGATGGCATCTTTAAAAACAAATAAGATATTCAGTCAAGACTTCCTTATGGTTTCTTATAAAATAAGAATATTGCGAATATGACAAACGTACAGCCCCTCAAAGTCTCTATGTAATCTTATTTTATGATTGTTTGCTAATATTAAAAAAAATGTTATTCTTTTTAACGCAACGTGGGGACTCACATCAGAGCTCAATAAATTGTCAACGACTGAAGAAAATGTGTAGTAATTTTCTGGGTACTTTTTTGCCATTTTTTTTTATAGGGGCAAAAAAAAAAGATACAAAAATTATTTAACATTACATTAATAATACATTAGTTTTGAATTTTACATATATTTTTATATTTTATACATTTTATTTTTATAAAATATATATTGTTGCCACTCCACTAAAGTTGTATTCGACAAAATTCCATAAAAATTTTTCTTATGGTGTTCTATTAGGCTAATTACTAGCCTAATTGGTCAATTACTACAAACTATTACTATAGTAATATCTAAAAATTGCTAAAGTTCTCTTTTAGTTACGATTTCTCTCTTTATATCTTTATATATAAGTAGTTATATAAAATAGCGTATAAAAGTATATATAATAGAAGTACATAGAAGTAGTTTTCCTTTGCAAAACATCTCGCATCATCTACGCAATAATCCTTATTTTCAGTAGTATTGTTGTTGTTTTCAACAGCAATGGACTTATAATTAAATTTATAATTAATTAATAATTGAGTTTAAAATTTTCTTTGCAGTAGTGTTGTTGTCATTTTTTTAACCCCTCATGAGTTAACTGGTTTTTCGATGAAGGTTGTTGGCGATTATTAGTCACTCGAGCCTCTATCTAACCGCTCTTAGGCAAGGTTTTGTTGTTTCTGTACATCAAGAAACATGAATGGATTTCAAGTCGTGTTAGTGAGTTAGGTTGTGGTGTGGAGGTAGGTAAAAGAAGGAAATCCTCTTAGATTATCTTAAGTAGTATAAAATTAAACTAGTTAAAGCTTAATTGTTCCAAATCAATTTAATGTTTATATGTATGTAATTCATGTTTATGTTGAGTCTTTTCCGAGTTAGTACATCTAGGCACTTTTACTCTTTAATAGCTGGGGGGTTTCTGCAGAGTCCCACCATTCTCACTAACAAATTTATGTATTCCTTAAAAACTTCATGATTATTCGATGACTGTTGTAAGATCTACGGCTAGAGATTATTCTGAGATTAGATAGTACTAAGTAGAGCAGCCTATCAGTTTTGGCGAATAGCTTCATATATGTAATTAGAGAATATAATTTTAATTCTATTTTAATAATAGAATATTATTTACAGCATAATATAGTTAAATTCAACGATATGCTAAGCGCTTTTAGAAACAGCTGATTATACGTGTCATAGCTACAGATCCTGGTCACTCCATCTAACAGCAAGAAGATTATCTATTTGTTTACAATAATGTCTCATATGCAAAGAGAGTTTTATTTTTTATATGGTTAAATAGTCTAATAATAAAGTCGCAGAATTGATGTGACAAGTTAAAAAAGTACTTAAGTTAACAATTTTCACATTAGGGTTATGAAATTACAGCAAATCTTAAGTCAAAACAATGTTTCTTTTTTTTTCTAAATTGTTTTATAACACAATAGCATTAATAATGATATTGGTAATATTAGCTTGAACTCTAGTACCGTCAGTGCAGCTGATTCCAACTTGAAAAAACTTTGAAGCTGAAGAGTTTTTATGTAAACTAATAGAGAAAGAAGTACTCTCTGTCAACAAACATCAACAAATCTCTTTAACATCTTACAAATGATATATGTATGTTACTATATGTTAAGTTCGAAATTGTGAGCCTTGAGACTGACTCACGACAAGTAAAAATCACGCTCCATAAGTCCCTTATAATGCCTGTCATGCTTAAACAAAAAACAAAAGATAAGTAGATATTAGGACCATTCTATAAGATATATTTCGAAAGGTTTATAGCCCCGTATAGTTTGATAATGAGTATTGAATTAAAAGGAACGATGAGCTGAATTAAGCTGAACCGCAAATTTGATATAGTTAAGCTTTTTAATTAATTATTGTTTGAACAATAAACAAAACTGATGACAAGGTATTAGGAGCATTATAGAAAAAAATTTTTCAAAAGACATAGTGTCCCGAACCTTTGGCAACGAACTTCGAATTAAATGCAACAATCAACTAATAAGTTACACCGCAAAATTGTATAGTTAAGCGTTTTAAGACTAAGTAGCTTTACTGATTTGTAGGTGTCTGCTAATCGAGGAAAATGTTCTAACTGGAAAAGTGTTTGGTTCGGTACCCGCTAGTAGAAAACGCGGTAGAGACCGGCAAACTGCTGATGGGCTGAGTGACGGAGACTACTAGACGTGTTCAGGAACGAAAAACATCTTTAAAGGACAACTAAATGAGTTACTAGTAGTTTAGGTTGGAGTGGCGGCGTTATATCCAACGCTCACTTAAGCTCAAATAAGTAAATAAATAAGTAACACTGAATTAGCGTTTGCACATACGTAGGCTAGAGGTTAGCATATGAGCAATGTAAAAGGCACGACTTCCCCATTACCAACCTGACAATTTCATAAACATGGCTAAGTCTCTAATTATGCTAAGTCCCTAATTCTTATAACATCTCGGTAAGGGCGGTAAGAAAAAGGGTTCCGAAGATTTCAGATCGTCTCCTAGCCAAAGATGGACATTGACACACGAGGTGTACACAGTGTACTCTTTATCCGCAGAGCCACAACCTCGACAAAACACATTACAAGGTGGACCCAGTTTCGTGCATGACTTCCTATTACGCAGTGACTCGTCGGCACTGATACCGTAGTTGGCAAATTACGCGTTGGTTAAAGCAGATGTGGCCTAGGTTATTCTAGAAAACTGACAACAGGATGCGTCTACCCAATATTACTTGAAATTCTCAGATATTTTTATTTAATTACTAGTTAAGTGTTGCAAGTGCGACGCCAATATCTGAGAAGTGTAACCGAGAAGTGTTTGTCAGGGAGCAGAGTGCCTACCTTGGTAAGTTCGTCTGCCCTTCAATTACCCGAGATATCCCTTTGTGCAGGAAACCATGTGAGTTGAACATTGACATAACTAGCCATCTCATTAATGTATGCCCGGCATTCTCAAACTATTAGAGATTTGACTGCAGAATAAGTAATAACAAAATAAACAAACTAATTTATATTAAAGTAATTTTATTGAAACGTTCAACGTTCAATTTTAAAAGAAAAGATACTTACTTTCATGCAACAAATTTGTTATAGTTTATTACATAAATAATTTTAAATACTTCTCTGTGATATTATATTTTGGGCATTAGAACTTTTATAATTAACCATATCGATAATAGATGGTTAAACTTAACAAATACTATAATATTCTGTGAAATCCACAAATTCAGATTTTATTATTTTTAATATCCAATTAATATTTTTGCACATTTCTTTTTTTTTTTTTTTTGTTTTAACAATTACAACAATTTCAACAACAAAAGTCAATACTTTATATAGCACGAATAAATAGTAACTGAAGCTTTGCTTTAAATGTAAAATTTAAAATATATTTGCTAATATATCTACGTTAAAAATATTTAATTTCGAAAACAATTCTATCTCGCATTATATCATAGAAATAAATATATATGTAGGAAACATAAATATAACTTAAAATTTAAAATAAATCTAAATAAAAATAAATAAAATTAAACTAAAATACATTATTGTGCAGTTAAAGAGTTATGAAATGAATTTATAACAATTAAAATATTTTTTATTTTTGTTTTAGTTGTTATTTGTTGAATTGCATGAATTCTTTTAACTTAAAATTAGAATATAGTCGAGTTAAAAGTTATTTCAACTCTATATGTTAGATATCTAATTCGAATGCTGAAAACGTAAAAACTCATCAGATGTGCTGTGATAAATGTTTTTTTTTTGTTTATTATAACTGTCCTTGTTGATAAAACTGGCATATATTGCCTCTTTGGGATGCCAATAGCTTTCTTTATTGCTTAAGCAACAGCATCTGTAGCACATTCTTCTTCGACAGTGATGTACATACCCTCTTCCTCGTATGCAGAATCATGCTTAGCTAAGATTCTTAAGAGAGGACGTAATTTAAGCCACCATTGTGCTTTAGGAATACGTTGCCTAAAATTAGAAAAAATCATTATTTAAAAAAAAAGAAACAAAAAAGCATTTCTTATAATTACTCGAAATTAGTTTCAGCAATTAAATCTGCCAATGGAGTGAATCTATATTGACGACGTACAATACCGAGCAGGCAAGCAGAATCGTTAGTTTCACATTTAATTGTACCATCAGGTCTAGTATTCTTTTTGAATTGATCAATTATCCAATCAACACATTTAGCTGCCATTTTTGTGCCCATATTACGATCAAATGGTGTTGGTGAGCCACCTTGTTGCATATGACCTATACAAATATAGAAATTAGTTATTAAAGCTAAACAATTAAAGAAAAATTTTTGAGAGACATACCTAAAATATTCATACGGCAAGAGAATAATCCTTTGCCCTCTTCTGAATATAAGCGGTGTATAAAATCGGTGTTATAATTCTCAGATGCTTTCTCATTGCGCAAGATAAGACCACGTTGTACACCTTCTGCCATTTTTGAGGCCATATGATAAACATCCTGCTGCAAATCTTTAATAGAGAACTTCTCTTCATAAATATAGGCAGCATCAGCACCACCAGCCAAACCAGCTAATGTTGCCAAGTAACCACAATAGCCACCCATAGTTTCAATAACAAAAACGCGACGTTTAGTACCCTGTGCAGATTGACGTATACGATCACAAATTTCAGTGATTTCATTTAAGCCAGTATCACAACCAAGTGAGAACTCAGTGCCAGGAACATTATTCGAAATTGTTGATGGTATAACAACTAATGGTATACAAAACTCTGGATAATTGGCACGTTGATCAGAAATTTGTCCAAGTGCATGATATGATTCAAAGCCACCAATAACAAGCAAACCCTGAATTCTAAATTCTTTAAGACGAGCAGCAATTTGCTTAAATTTGCCTTCTGGGAGTGTACGTTTCGTACCAAGAAAAGCACCACCTTGTCCTACCCAACCAGTTACATCGGACCTAAAATATATTAATATTAATAATAAAAGAAATAATTTATATTAGAGAATAATCTACCAGCCCATTTCTTTAATATTGCCAGCAATTAAACCTTCAATGCCATCATGTATGCCAAATACTGTGTCACCACGATAAATGCAATTACGCACAAAACTACGTACAGCAGCATTCATACCACATGCTGGAGCACCAATATGCATAACGGCAAGACGATAACCTTCCTATATTTCAAATTAATATTAGTTAAAATATGACTAAATTATATATAATAATATAATGAACTTACCACTCCTCTACCTTCAGCATCAAATGATTCCTTTGGTGGCTTCAAACGAGTCAACATTTTGTAAGTTTCCAAATTACGTTCAAAAGAGCGGCCACGCAATTTTACAGCCAATTCCCAATTCTTTTCAGCCATGGCTGCAGCAACAGCTTTTGTACGTTCAACACACTCCATTAGTGGTACACGTACAGCTTGATTACCATCCAACGAAACGACAACTGGTACAGTATCAGGTGTGGCTTCCATAAGCGCTAAAGTAGCTTCAGCACCCATACGACAACCCTAAGATAATTAAAAAACATGTTTAATTAAATATTTTTATTGCTTTTTTTATGTGCATATCTTAGTTTATTTACCAAAACACGATCAAATGCGCTAGGGTTACCACCACGTTGTACATGACCCAAAACAGTGATACGAGTATCTTGTTGTAATCTATCCACCACAACTTTCTTCACATCTTCAGCTGTAATAGGTTTACCTTCACGATCGATAGCACCTTCAGCGACGATAATAATATTTAAGCGTTGACCTGCATTACGCTCCTGTTTATTTTATTTTATAAAGATTAAAAAATGTATTTAATTTTATTAATATATTTATTATTTATTTTTTTTTGTTTATTAATATAAACATATATATGTAACAATTTTAAGCTTCATTATTTCATTTTTTTGCAATACATTTTTTTTAAACATAAATCCTGTGTTATATTCACTATAAGTTTAAAGAATATTTAAAAATCGAAACTTTTTCTATAATAAAATCGGTATTATTAGTACTAACTAATTATGTTAAGTACGAAACCTTGATCAGGGTCTTTTAATCTATATGTGTGATTCACAAGAGTAATTTATATCAATTATCTATATGGTGAAGATATTGTTATGTACGAATTTCTTTAACTTAATACCCTTATTAAATAAAAAAAAACCCATTAAATAATTACGAGTTACTCTTGCATGGTTATTATATATATGTATGTATGTATGTATATAGTTGACTACATTAAAAATAGTGAATTAATTACGAAATGTAATAAATTACTGGACTTTAAATAGAAAGCTAAACTGATAAATACACAATACATAATATAGATAATGATTACTAAAGATATTTTAATTATTATTAATTATTACATATTTGTAAAATGGGTGCACTGGGGAATGGGTATGATATAAAAATTCATTTGTGAATGGATTTGTTTACAATAAGAGCTTAATAATAATAAATGTAAATGAGAGGCATTTAAACTATTTGAAAAAAATTATTGCTCAGTACTAGCTGGCAGCTCTATATGAAACCAGCATTGTATTCAAGATATATTAGATATGGGTTCCGGGTGACTATGAGAGCAAACTGCAATATCAGACTAATTAGCCAGATGGTAAATTAATCTTAAACTAGGCACAGACGAAAGTCCAAAAATTCATTTAAGTGACCAACAGGTCTCGAATAAATAAAGAATCTAGACAAATAAAGCCAAATATAGCCGAAACTCCTAAAGTGAATATCTATAATATTATAACTTGTATAACCGATATCTTACTATTTGGCAAGCATGGCATCAACCTAGAGGTACCCACTCATGAATGCTATAAAAGTTGTGTGAAAGAGTAAGGAGACGAAACAGTAAAATACTTCTTCCGTAGATGCCCAGTTTTGGTTACTAGTAGAGCGGGTATAATTTTAATTAGGAAATTAAATACATTTTGTACTTTATTAGGGTTATTACTTAAAGTTTTATTAGTAAGGACAGTGAAGATACCACAATGGAACCTCAGTGTCTAAGCGAGTTGGTTAACTTGACCGACTGCCAAAATAAAACCTAACCTATAGCTATAGCTATATACGGCATTTCACGGTATTGGTGCTCATAGATCAATATCTCACTACCACAAAGGCATATTATAAAATTTGATCTGTACTCTAACGGTTTTTATTGGAATTGCGGATGAGGAGGAAACTATACACCACCTCATGTAGAAGGTGGTGTTATTTTCTAAGAAAAGTTTAAAATTCTTTGGAGCCCCATTTTACACTGACCGGACAAAACTGTCAGTCTTTAAAATTAAGAACATAGTCAAGATTGAACACTTAGCTGGCTGTGTCCCTTTTACTTTAATGGGAAATAACCACCCGACAATTTCAATGGAAACGTTATATGTTGGACGTTTCGGACTATTACCTTTAAGGTGGTCTGTATCTCAGCCGTAATATTACAACAGGTTAATATTTGTGCTGAAGTGAGCTTTGGTATACAAGTCTACCACTTTGATCTAACATATTCTAACATATGATAAACATAATTTTGTATATATCAATTTATATACTTATCTATCCTACATCAAAGAAATTTGTTTTGTTTTTTCGAAAAAAATTTCATTCAGACTCAACCAGGTTTGACTTCAATAAAATTTTTTTATATAAATTTAATATAATATCCATTCGATATTGGAAATATAAAAAATAATTATAGTGAAATGCAGTAATGGTTTTTCGGGTATTAAAGGATATATCAGTTCGATTGAAAATATGTATTTTAAGCATAAAATTGTATTAGTTTGCCCATATGAATCTCATTTTTAAAACATAGGTATATACCACAACATTTTATTAAAAATATATTTATAATTTCTACAGTTTTTACTCTATTTCGGACTCTATAAATGCTTGCAAAAAATGAAACAACGACTCAAATTTTAAAGTTTCATAAAAAGATGGAGAAATAATAAATTTGCATAAATGAGATTGTGTATCGGTAGAATAATGTAAGCTGAGAGTTTTATGTTAAACCAATTAATGTATGTCTCGTTTAGCAATGATTTTTAACAGAACTAAAAATATAAATAATTACAACTATATGAATGACTTATATGTATATATAGTGTATGATTTTTATACAATGAGTAAGAAATTACAAATGATATATTTATTATTATGTATATACTTTGTATATAAGACCATATGATAAAAATGAAAATATAGAAGCGAAAATATATAATTGAATACAATGAATGACAACAGACAATATATGCTCTGAAAGATGTATGAAATCAATAAATGAATGTTGCTCTATAACTGATTTTCCAGAATACACCTATTGTCAATAAGTCGTTAAAACTTAGCAAATATATATCGTACGATTTTATAGACTTACGATATATTTAAAAATTTTAATAACTTTTGAACTTTTACTATAGAATTACAAAATCAAAAATAAAGTGTTATCATGCATCGAAAAGCTAAAATAATATCAAATGAAATGACTACAACACCATTATGACACCAATTTTTTATATATATATATAAGGAACAAGATAAATCCAAAAATATTTAATTATTAATTATTAAATCGAAATCATATTTACATACAATATTTGCCAATTATGTTAATTGCTTTGAGATCTGATAAAGAGCATTAGAAACCATAAATTTTGTTTTTTTTTTTGTGTTTTGAAATACAAATATAAAGAAAAAAATTAAATATATATAACCCATAAGCTTTAGAACAACTATATTGCTCAATATATGTTAATTAGATTTTCTATATAATTAAATATTTAAATTAACGTTTAAATAAATGCACAATATTAATTATTTTAAAGTAAAGAGAGACTGCATTCTGACCTGCAGTAGTTTTTTGCACAACTTATCGGGCCAATTAATGGCGGCAGGACATTCGGGTATAAACATAAAATCAGCCTCACTGGCTAAAGCTGCTGCAATACCTAAGTAACTAAAATTATAAAAACATTAAATATTTAACATTAAAAACATTTAAGTGGAAAATTAGCACACAGTTGAAGAGTTGCTATGTAGCTAAAGTATATGTACGTTAGATTACCAAATACAAAAAAAAATTTTAGATAAACACTAGATATATAGATAGATTACGAAACGATAGATAGAAAATTAGAAACAAAACAAAAGAATGTTAAAAACGTATACAAATATACACAATACTGGTATATAAAACATATACATATATAGATATTACCTTGGGGTAATTTGGTAAAAGAAATATTTATATATAGGATCCCTATTAACGGCTATATGAAAATCGAAACACTATATCACAATTATACGAAAACACTGTATTACAGAATATTTGTAATCTTTTAATGATCATACAAATGAGTGCGAATAGACGATTTTTGTGTAAACTTGAGTGCGACGAAGATGATTTTTGTGTTCAATGATGATTTCAGCTGAAAAACTGAAAATAATTAAAGTCAGCATATAAAAGCAAATACAATACATTTTAAAAAAGGCAGCCAATGATGTAAAAAAAAAATCTCACTTAATTATAAAATTATATTTTACTATAACCAATTTAAAATAATGAATTTTTTTTTAAATTTTGTGAATTCCGTTTCTTCTTGCCTGACTTAATTGCTGACAAATTCTTTCGGGCCAATCGGTTTTAGGTGGAGCTTCAGGTATAAAAATATAATCAGCTTCACTTGATAAACCAGCTACAAGAGCCAAATAACTGTAAAAAACAAGCATTTTTAATTTAACAATTCAAATCATATATAAAAATTGGCAACTTTAAAACGGGACATATTCCTTTAAGTAAAAAAAATTAAATAAAAAATGTTTTGTTTAAATATTTTTTTTTAAGTTTTTCGTAAATTATACAGAGTAACTTCGACTCATACGACATAATTTTGGAAAATTATACCTCAGTCAAAGAAGCGAGTGAGAACAATCATGTTAGGGAAAGAAGATAGATAGGATACCAAAAAAATGTTCACTTGAAAAAATATTTAGTCAAGATACGATCTAACATCTTAAAAACTTTTCAAGTCAATAACTTAAGTTATACATCAGTTTTTAGTCCATTCTACATACTTTTATATGATGTCTACAATATCGTTCTAATTAAATGGGTTCGAAAGCTAAGCTGACATTATATTGCATTATATTGCATTATAAAAAAATTAGGCAATTTAATATAAAATAATTTATATAAATACAATAATATATATTAAAATAATAAAATATACTCTAATCATTTTTTATACAGTTCTTTTAAAAGTATGATTTTCTATTATTTCAAACTCCATTAGGAGCTTAAGGACTCAACAAAAGTTTTCCAAGAATTTCTATTTCGTGCTATTTATCATAATTCATTAAACGATTTACAAGTTTCATGAAGTATTGTTTTCCTCTAGGTTATTTTAGGTCTGCCTGTATGTCGTATTTTTTGAGAATTCTGGGTTAACGCAGTGTGCGTGATGTCATCATAGAATTTAAGTAATATATATTTTCGTTTTCATATATCATCGTCTATATATATTTGGCCTGTAAGTCTCCAATAGTATGATTAGTTTTCGATTATTTTTGCAAAAGACCTCATTTATCTCAAAACTTTTTATTTTTTGTTCAATTTTCCATATAATAGTAGTAGTTGTAACTTCCTGGGGCCTGCTTAGGAAGTGCCATTGGGAGGTATAAAAAGTTACTTGGGTGTCGCTTGTGAAGTGTGGTTCGAGGGCGTAGACCCAACTGTTCTTGGAGACAATATATAAATTAAATTTGGTGAACAATTTTCACTAAAGAATTTTTCTTCTAGTAAGCATAATTTTCTTGCAATCATCCTTTGAAGCTAAATACCTAATTCTATTTTCTTTAAGCGGTTCGAGTGTTTTCAATTATTTGGAAGTATACGATCCAAATTCTCGAATTCGAATGAAATCGATCTGTTTGAGCACCATAAAACTCAAATACTTTGAAGCACTACTTAACACTAATAAGTTGTAACAAATTAGTGCAATTTTTGTTAAAAAAACTGTTATACATAAGCAGCAGAAAAAAACTTAATTAACCAGAAATTAAAAGAAAAATATAAGCATCACAACAAAAAAGTAGTGGACTAAAAACTGATATATAACCTAAGTTGTTATAATGAAATGCTTTTGAAGGGTTCGAAGACTATTCGTTTTTCAAGGTAGATTTTTTTGGCACTCTATATCTATACCGACAATGCACCTTACCCTTATGTACATTTCTTCCCTCGTTTCTTTAATCCAAGGTTTATACCGTAAGGTATGTATGTAGCTTGAATCGGAAATACTCTGCAGAGAAACTGTTTACTTCTGAAGCCTAGTTTGAAAGAAACACTTGCATACAACAAATATATATATAAAACAAGAGCTAAGTAACTAAATTTAGTTTAAAAACAAACTGGTCTATACCTCAGGGCTACTCATTATCACTACTATGCAGTTTTCATCGTTTAATTGTTCGGAAGTATAACAAATCAAGCACGCTTTCCCTACGTACTGAGAAACTACTCGAACTATAACAACAAAGCCAAATTTTTTCAAAGCAAAGTATACTCTCAATAATTCGAACACTTTTCGAATTATTCGGACTTTGCAGTAGTCGAAACATTTATCGTCACTGTAATCTTTAGATATAAAGCATAGAAAATCCTGCCTCAAAACTTTTTTACTTGATAATAATTTAATTTACTATTTATTTTATAAGTTTATTAATATTTTATCAAATAATTTCCTACTTTAGCTAATAATATAGAGTTATGTTTGTATGTTTTTTCAAAGTTCGTTTGCAAGAATGATAGGTACATATATATATAATATATATACGTACAATATAAACTACCGTTTTTTACATTATCGGTTGATATAAGCAATCTTTGGAACTAATTGTTTATATTATCTAGAGTATAATGAATTACAATATTTTTTTTTGTATACATTTTATCAACGTCATTCATTATGTTTCTTTCAAACTAGGTCATAAAGAATATTACCTGTAAGCAAAATAATATATACTAGCATATATGTTTAATATTCATGGCAAGATGTTTCCATTTTCTGTTTGCTATCGTATTGTGAATTGTGGTGTAATGGAACTGTTAACAGTAAACAGCTATCGCCTTTACTTTCTATCGATCGGTGCGCCTCATTTGATCTACACTGGAAGAACCTAATAATCTACATCTGTTTTTATTGTTAAGTATCTCTTTTTTTATTGTGAAGTATCTCTTTTTTATTGCAAAGTATTTTTTTTTTTATTGTAGAGTATCTCAAGTATATATACCATACTTTCTGACATACCAGAGATGTTTGAAAAATCTTCTTTAGAGTGCTGTTTGGAACTTTTAGGATACCTAGTTGCTATCGAATTAGCTAGATTTATTGATGCTTTTAATATTTATTAAAATCTAATAATTTAAATTTTTATATGAATTTAAAACAAATTTCTCTATAAAAAATTCTACAACTTTATCAACATAAATTCTTCTGATAGTTGGTTAAAGCTAATAACTTTTTACAAACTATGACAAATATTTGAGTTTTCAATAAGATACTTTTGCTAAGATGTATAAATATTATAACTATTACGAAAGTATCGAACTTTCAATAAGATATATTTGCTCAGATATATACTTTTGCTAAGAAATAAAGATACTAAATTGTTGAAGACAAAAAATATTTAAGATTTTTGTTGGCATTAGAAAATATTCAAATCATGGAATAAGGCAAAGAAATCAAATGGAAAAAAATTCAACCTTTTCTTTAAAACCTACTAAAGGTAATGAGAAGATACAAAAAACGTTAAGTTTAGATATGGTAAATTGACGATAATATATACATATGGTAAATATTATCTTTCTTCAGATAATATCCTCACTAAATCTAAAATATGAATCTTTAAAATAAAGTATATAGAAACATTTTATGTACTATATTATTTAGTTTGAGTTAAATTCTGTATTTTGTATCCTTGCACCTATAAATTTTTTATTTATCTATATAAGATAAAAAAATCTGTAAAAATAAAATATTTTTGTTTAAGCACTCATAGTTGGACTTTAAAAAACTAAATAATAGCAATATTTTTTTCATTTTTTAGTATACATATAAGTACAGAAACAATTACTTTCATAACATAAAAAAATTATTATAAACAAATTTGTTGGTTTGTTTAGAAATAATGTATATATGTACACTTGGTCAACATATTGAAACATGCCTTATTCACCTAACAATTACATACATTTAATATACACATATTATCGTATAAACTTATGTTTAGGTAATGCTTTTCATAGAAAATAAATTAATTATTTCTAAGCCTGGATATACAACTTAAATGAAATCTAGCCAATGGTTATGAGACTATAGTTTGAAAAAAAAAAACAAATAAATTAGCTAAATAAAATAGACTTTAAAGGAAACTAGCACTCATTAGGCAATTTTATGCTTAGGTGCGTGAATCATTTGGATTATTTAAAAATTAAATAAAATTTTGAGAGCTGAAATGAAACAAATATGAAAACTTGTGGCGTAGTAGTGCCAAAAATGTTTGAGAACATATCGAGAACAATTGTCACAAAGAATAGATACAACAAATTCTTGCCTGTATTAATTTATTGCATAGCTTTTCTGGCCAATCGAGTGGTGGAGGTGCTTCAGGGCAAAATACATAGTCAGCTTCGGAAACGATACCGGTGACTACAGGCAAGTAACTGCAGATAAATTATGAAAATAAACGCAGTGATAGTGAAACATTATGATAACCAAAAATTCTCATATTCAATTAATTTCAAAATATAAATTTTCATTTTAGCCAATTTTTAAAGGTGAATATCACAATGAATGGCGAATTCATATTTGTGTAGCTTTTAAAACTACACAATTTTACTTTAAGAGTAAAATACCACATTATATTACCACTTTAATACATGAATCCGCCACTAATTTATAAAACTAATACATTTTTTTCACAATTTTGAACCTTATTAATTCATAATCTTACCCACAATGACGACCCATCACTTCCATAATAAATGTACGTTGATGAGAATAAGCAGTACTAACAATAGCATCAATAGCTTCAATAATACGATGCAAAGCTGAATCAGTACCAATAGTCATATCAGTACCACAAAAATCATTATCGATTGAACCAACCTATTAAGTAAATACAATTTTAGTATTTATTTTAATTATATATTATAAGATAACGTAAATACCATGCCAACAATATGCAAAACATCGAATTTGTGCCTTTGCTCTTGAGTTATTTTTCCCGTTTGTAGAAGTTCATCTAACAAAGAGGACCATTCCTGACGAAACAGATTAGCACCAGTAAGTGAGCCATCACCACCAATCACAACTAAATTGGAAATTCCTCTTTGAATAAGATTGCAAGCTGCCTTTAGACGGCCAGCACGTTCACGGAAATCGGCACAACGTGCAGAACCAATAACAGTACCACCACGATGAATAATTGAAGACACGGATGCCCAATTAGCTTCAACAATATTGTCTCCACCATCGACCATGCCTTGATAACCTTCTCGTATGAAGTAAGCCTGGAAATTAAAAGAATTAAAATTATTCATTATTATCATTAACTATAATATAAAACTGGTTTATTATATTAACAAATTAATGTAAATTAGCTTACATTTATAAAACAAATTTATAGGCATTTATTGAACAATTCAAAAAAGATGAAGTCAAGTTACTTTATATAAACAGATAAAGTCAAATGCTAAGAAACCGGAATAAAACTATTTTAAAAAAAAGTAACTTAGCGTTTAGGTACCACATAAACTGATTCGAAAATATATAATGGACCCAATTCTACACCAATGCAACCAATTAAAACTCATTGAAACTAGAGTTAACCAACAAAGTTGAGTACCTAATCAAATAAACTAGCATTATAGGCTAATTGAAGATATGCACTTAAAGTAAGTTGAAGTTTGTTGCAGTGGAGGGAGAAACGATTCCTCCTCAATTAGCTAATAAAACCGTTTTAAATCCACAATACCTTGTAATAGTGGGTAGAAGGTCGAACTAGAACTAGCCAGAAGCATTTATAGAGATGGGAATCTGACCAATGCTAATACTGGAGATATCGCTGAGTGTGTTAAAAAAGGGACCCGTAAAAAAACTATTTAATTATGTCCTCAACATATTCGAAATTGAAAATAAAAGTTTATAACAAATACCTCGTGTTTTGTTTAAGAAAAAATAAAACACGTTCAAAGTTCATAAAACGTTTCATTATTTAAATAATAAACAAACAATGCTAGTAAAATAACAATTAATTATTCACTCTTATGATAATTTGTCATAAATTGCATTTTTTTTACTTATATAGATTTTAATCCATATAACGACAAGAAAACGATATACAATAAAAAAAAATATATTAACAATACATTTACGTTTCAACCGAATTTGTGTATTTATAGAAATTTTAATTTAAAATAAATGAGAATTATAATTTAAATAAATAACTATTAAACTTGGTATAACTATCTATAACTATTTTATAGAAATTCTATGTTATAAGAATCATAATTTATTTGCAACAAAGATGCGTTAAAGATGTGTATAAATTAAATCTAAATTAATTATTTAAATAATATTTTCAACAATTTTAATTTAATTTACTTTAAATTGAAAGTATTGTGTACAGAAATAAATACATGTAGGTATATAATATGTAAGCTATATTGAAAATATAGTCAAATAATAGCCAAAAATGTAAATAATTTTCATATTAACAAACACTAACTGTTAATTATAGTTAATAAATAGTTAAATATAAACAAATGAAACAGTAAAGATCGATGCGGTAAGTTTTAAGTGAACACTTTTTATTCGGTTTGTTCTTTAGATTCTAAATAAAATATTAAAGAATTTCTACTCTATTAATGTATTATTCGGTTTGTTCTTTACATTCTAATTAAAATATTAAAGAATTTCTACTCTATTAATGTATTGTTCGATTTGTTCTTTAGATTCTAATTAAAATATTAAAGAATTTCTACTCTATTAATGTAGTCACTATATGTAACTTCGATGTTAACAGTACTTTTGCAACTAAATGTCTCAAACATAGAAAAAAGCCACATTAAGATAGACAATTCTTCTATGTTTCGAATTCTTCCAATGTTAAAGTTTCCCTCCATATTTTCTTGCAAGCATAATAATAAGGAGATTTATAGTAAATAAAATTATACACCTTATATTTTTTATAATTTAATTAAATTTTGAAAGTTTAAAAACCTCAATATTTTATTTAATAAATGTCTAAATACTTTTATCGAATCAATAATCGTTCTCTGATAGCAGAATATTTGGCAGCATAGTGCCAGAATGTTAGACACATGTTGCTAGACATTTGGTGATATTTCACATGTTAAAAAAAGTTCAATTAAATGCAAAAACAAATTATTTTTAAATATTTTTTTTTAATATTTTATATTTTTTAGCTTACGCTTTTTAAAGAAGTTGTATAAAGAAGTTGTAGTATAGTATAAAACTTCAAAAAAATGCTTTATAAATCTTTCATATATATATTTAAACATATAGAGTTCATTAAAATTCAAATAATATATAATGTATTTATATTATATAAATAAATTATGAAATTGCCTTAATAAATTGTACTTTATATAAATTATATAAATTATAAATTGTATAAATAAAAATTATAAATAAATTGTTAAAAAATGATGTAAATAAAATTTATATTTATTTAATAAACATATATATTTATTTATATATATATATTAATTTATATATTTATTTAATAAATATATTATTGATATCGATAATTTCCTACTATAATATAATATATCAATGCAAAATTGTTAATTTTATAACAAATATTATAAAATAATAGTATACAAATTTTATAACATATTATATATGTAATAATATTTATGTATGTATAACATATTATATATATATATATATATATATATATACCATATATTATTTTAAACCGCACTTTGTTAGGTGCTTCTGTGCATACATCGTTCCATGTGTAGTGCGCTTCTGTCATTCTCTTTGTCTTTCTCCAAGTTAAAGCGGGTACACCAGGGCATCTGCTACTTTGTGAAAGCTTGTGGTGGAATATATTTATTTGGTCGTCGGATAGTATCCAATTCCTATATAATTCCATTTTCGCATTTTTATTTCGGTTACAGTAGCTTTCTGATTTGTTTGGAGAAAAACTTATGCATTTGATATGTGGTTAGGCCACCATATTTCTAGGATTTTTCGCAGGCCTTTATTTACTAATCTTTGTATATATATGTACATATATATAAATCTAATACAAACCTATATACAAACTTAAATATATTAACATGATATCAAATTTTAATTGCTTTTGCCTCAATTTATATAAAAGCAGATGTCGCCTGCCAATAAAAAAGTAATAAAAAATAAACTATACAAACTAAATAAAAATTAAGCACATAAATACAATAAATAATAAAAAAATATATATTGGTTAAATTAATACAAATAAAGAAACCGAAAACTAAACTATAAAAAGGCATTGTCCAATGATTTTTTTTATATATTGTTTACTAATTGTATTTAATTACAAATTCGTCGCAAAAAATAAAAAAAATACGATAACATTTTTCGACCAGTTTTAATGGACATACGAGTAAAATAGATTCAAAGTAAAAATGTATGAGTAATGTTATAAAGAGGAAATGATTAACTAATTTAAATATTTATATATGTATAATGATAAATAAATATGTATATATTTATTATGAATTTTATATTAAAAGATAAAATAATAGAATAGAATAACGTATATGTATATATGCCATGATAAATATGATTTATTAATACCAATTCATTGAATAATTTTTAACACCAATGCATTTGAATAATTTCACTTCTAAGATAATTAATTTATTATTGCAAAATGTATTAATGATTATTTTACATAAAAGCATTATGTATATATTTGTTGTTAGTTATTATATAAGAATTCTTAATATATGTTCTATTATACCTTCAATATAATAAATATAATTATATAAATAAATATAAATATATAATATAAATATTATTATAATTGTTAAGTACATAATTATAAAAAAATTTTGTTAATGTTTAATTCCTGATACTAAAAATATATTAAAAATTAATCTAAAAAATTTAAAAATTATTTAAGGAGTTTTGAAATATTTAATTATATTCAAAGACCACATATATTCATTCAATTTAAAAACAAGTTATCTTGTTGCCATTTAGACATTAAGATTAACTTAATTCAATTAATTTATTTAAATTAAATTTAAATTTGTTTCAAAATTTTATTTTATTTTCTATTTATTTTAAATTTAAATTAACATAATAAATTTAATTTTTAAACTGAATTATGAAAAAAGAAATATAATTTAAATTTATAATAAATTTAATCTAATATAATAAATTGAATTTTCAAAGTTATCTTTAGAAATATAATTTAATTTAATTATTATATTTAATTTAATATAATACGTTTAATTTTAAGTCTAATGACGAAGGACATATAATGCAATTTATTTTAAATTAATTAAACTAAATTTTATTTAAATTAAATAGTTTTATTTTATTTAAATTGTTTTAACTTAATTTTATTTAAATTAATTAAAATTTATTGAATTCAAATTGTTTTAATTTAATTTATTTTAAATTAATTAAATTTTGTTAATTCAAATTGTTTTAATTTAATTTGAAAAAATATTTTAATTGTTTTAATTTAGTAATAATTTTTAAGCTTCATATTTTAGCCTAGTAACAAAATAACAAAATACATTGTAAAACCGGTTTCAACCATTTAGAATGTAATTTTGCTGTTCCATGGCCTTTCTTAATAAAATGGACTATCATTTTAAACAATTACAAAGCCTACTTAAATAATTGATTTATTGCTAATAAAAATATTTTTAAAATATACTTTTTATGGATATATAACATCACAATGGGATTTATAATTAAAAAAAACCCCTATGACTAAATAAATAGACCTCTTAGTTTTCTGATAAAATGAATCGTTTTTATATACAAAAGAAAACTTGTTTTATTGAGAAAAAGGAAAAAAATAAAAAGTATTTTTCCAGGGATGTGACAAGTCTTCTTCATTATACCAGTCAGAAAGTTACTTATCACGTCTTTCTAGAATGTGTGCCTCAACTCTAGGTATTTGCATAACATTGACTTATTACTGCGTCCAACTGAGGTGACTATAATTTTTCACATTTATGCGTGTTATATTCGAATTGCCATTCAAATACCCAATTTTGTTTCCTTTTTTCCCATATATATTACCAGTCAGTTCTTTTTTCCAATCCGAACTCAAGTTAATGTCTTGTCTATTTATTTTTAGAACATTGTAAGAACAATAACGACGACGTAAGAAAGAGAAATTTCACTTTTATATAGAAGACAATATAAAATATATTTAACCAAACGTCAGAGAACTCAGCAGTAGCTTCTCGCACTTGTGCAAATATATCTCTTGCTTCAATAATACAACCTTTATGGACAAGCACTGCACCAACAATGCCATAAGTTGCCCATATATTCCGAGGATCGTTACGTAGAACTTGCTTATATATGAACAAAGCTTTTTCCTGATGCTTTCTTTCTTATATCTTTGTCTTTTATAGATTGATCACATACCGAATACATTTTTAATATTAAACAATCTCTTCTCGTCTCACACTACCATCACCTACCCGTATTCTAATTCATCACCAAAAAAATGTCTCTACCTTGATACTGGTTAACTTCAATTTAAATTCCACCCGTACCCAATCCCTTCTTACTCCTAAGCAAATTCCCTCATTTTAACACTACCATCACCTACCCACATCCTAACCCATGTGTGCATCGTTGTAATTTATTTCTTGTTACTTGCTTGATAGATCTCTGTGGGTTACAACAACAACAACATGGTTAGGTTATAGCCAATAAACCGAATGATCCACCACTTAGGCCTATTGTCCGCTTGTGTTAATAATATATGAAACTATGATGTAATTTAAAAAGAAATTGTAATAATACATATTTACATCATGAAATTATTCATGAGTTCATATACCGATAAAATAGGGAACCGATAAGAATAATTTCTATGCTAGCACCTGATAATAAGTCGTTAAGGTGTAATAGATTTATTATCGAAAAGAGATATTATTATGGTAAGTATACCATATATGTGTATATTAGCTAATAATAAATTTTTTTTTAGCTAAAAATATGAGAGTTGTATAAAAATTATTTAATATTTTTATTATCAATTAATTGATACAACAACCACTCAAAAGTGAGAATAACAATAAAATTCTATAAACAATGTAATTTGACTTGCACTTGAACCTATTAAACAGATTATTGAAATAAAATTTATATCGATTTTAATTAAACAATCTGCTGTAAGCGCCTTATCATCTCAATTACACCGAATAAACAATTTCACTTTCTTGGGCGGCCGCAACAAAGCAAGCCCCGCATACCGATTATATGCCTGATATACATTTGTGTGAAGTATGTGTGCACATAGTAGAAGCATGGTGTGTATACATACATATTTTATTAATTACACGATAAGAGTGAAGAAATGCTTTCATTCGTTTAAGAAACTAAAATGTGTACCACTAAAATAAACTCAATGTCACGGTTCGTTAAAAATAAATCATTTAAAAAACTTTATCAAAAAACAAATAAAATTCTTCAAGTACCAAAAAAGAAAAGAAAAAATGAAAAAAAACTTGTAGCACTTATATTTTAAATTATATAAAAATTCATTAATTTTATTAAAATATAATATATACATATATGCAATAAGCAATAAAACTTACCTTGCATCCTAGATAAATGGCCATACGTACACAGGCACGTACGGCGGCATTCATACCCTGTGAATCACCACCACTGGTGAAAACGGCAAGTCCTTTGTCCTTATGAGACCCGCGCTCAATAAAACGTTGCTTCAATTCAGTCGGCATTTTTATAAAGCACTTTCTACACTTTTATACAGTAATAGCAATAATGCTTAATAATGAATAAATAGATTTAAAATATTTTAAACAAGACTCCGTTATAACGTATTGAGTATTTAACACACACTTCTCACACTGCTCGCTACCAACAAACAAAGCAAATGTTTGTTGCGTACTGATCGCAAGAGATTTTTCAGTTATGACAGTAACTGGATATATGTGTACGCACCCAACTGCTGGAGTTTTTATTTTAATGAAAAACTCTTGCAATTTTTCTCAAATTTTGCGAAATTTAATTTGGAAGAACTCTACTCACTGTGTGTCTGTACTCGCCAAGGTGACACACTTTGACGTTTCAAGGTGACCTTTATCGATTGCAGCAAAGTATACAAAAATTTTGACAGCTGTGCGTTTGTTGTGCTTGGCAGAGTATACGTAAACATTTTCACTGGATATACAACCGGTTATTTATCAATGAAAATATAAAGGAAATTAATAATCATTATGTCCATTTAAAGCACTAGCAATTAATTTATTTATTTTAAATGGACAATTATATTTAACAATTATTTTCATTATTTTGTTTAACAATTTTCACAGCTAAAATTCAGCCCGTTTTGTTTACATTAAACAGCTGGCATTTTCAGCTGCTGTGAGGTTCTGTTCGTTTGGGCATAATAAGTACACTGACAACAATTTCGTGCAATAAAATATGTGTGTGCAATATGTTGTGTGTTGAGCTATAACAAATAGCAATTGAATTGAATGGTTATATATATATTATATTAAGCCAATTATAAATATTTACAACTCTTCCATATAATATATTTTTTAATGGTAATTTATTTTATATATTTCTTTGAAAATAATTTAAAAAATTGCGTTTTATTTCACTAATTGACCAATTAAACAGCTCAAAAATATATATAAACATTTGATAATTATAAAAATATTATGATATTTATTATAAATAAAAAAATAATATTTTTAATTATAATATTAGTAATAAATAAATACAAATAGTATTTATTGTATATATATTACTGTATAATATTAATAAATTGTATTATGATCAGTATTCAATACGTTTTTTTATTATTACTGGGCTTAGATCGTTAATTTACCACATAATAATTAAAAATGTTTTTTTTTTAAATAAAAATAACACTTATATTAATATTAATTATTATTAATTATATTAATATATTATTATTATATATTATAATATTATACAAATATTAATTATTGTTAATTATTGATATGCAATTAAATATTGAACACATATATATAAGTGTAATTTGTATATAAAAAAGCATTTTTAATTTTTATGTGTTAGATTAACGACCTAAGCTCAGTAATAATAAAAAAAACGTACTGTATAATATTATTTTTATAATTATATTATTATTTATTATTATATTATTATTATTATATTATTATTATATTATTTTATATAATTATTAGCTGAAAACTGAAGTTTTTAAATTAAGCAAACAAAAACTATAACTTATTATTACTTTAACTGAGTTAATAAACAGAATTCAGTAAATATATAAAATAATTTACGTTAATTTATCGTTTTACTTTTTTATTTATGCTATTTAATTTCATATAGTGTAAAAATTAATAAAATTTGCAAATAAATGCTTTACAAATTAAATTTCAAAAAAAAAATAATACAAATACGTAAAAGTACATATTAAAAACTTAAATAATGAATGCAGATATATTGTACATAATTGGATTAGCACTATATATAAATCCATAAACAACGCCTCTAATCAGAGGATAGCATTCCTAAATCGTCATTACATTACAACATGCGTTTATTATAGTTACGTTAGCCTTCATCATGAAAGCGCATAAAAAGGGCATAAAAATCTACATAAATGAAGAACCAACCTAAAATCAAGAGGGATATCACTACTACAGAAATCGCTTTAATATAATATGTTTAACCAAACAGGAAAAGATTCAATTAGTTATTAAGTAACTAAAGACTAAAATTCATTTGAATTTGTTATCATTACCAGCTCCAATATTAGCTGGAGGTAATAAAGGAGCTTAAATAAAGCGGTATATCTAAAACCGTACTCTTTATCCTTAAAAGCTTAAAAAGTTTAAGAGACAAAAATCTTACTTAAAATTACCGAATAATTAAATTCACAAAAATCCAGGAAATTTTAGATTCTTAATTATCACTTCAGAATGACTACAACTGTTATCTTAAGAATTTTTAATTAAAATTTAAATTAAAATTACTCCTTTAATATGAATAAATAATAAAATAAATAATAAAACTGAAAGCGGCATAATAAACCGCCGTTTTCACATATAAAAATAAACAAAAAAACATCTCTTTGTCTCTCTCCATTTTTCTCCAAACTGTTAATAATAAAATTAAAATTTTTAATTCAAATTTATATGTACTTCTCATGCCCCGTAGAGATATATCTTATGGTAGGTTTACTCTGACCTGTGTCACTGCAAACTCGGCAACCATGCTAGAAGATTAAATCTCCCTTTCAGCCATACCAGTCGCAGTTGTAGGGAAAACGCTGAGAGTGCATCTCATCTAATCTCTTTTTGCCCAGCTCATCCACGGCGGCGACTCAACATTTTACAAGCCCCCACTCTTGAGGATCTTGATCAATTACACTAAATAGCCACTAATAGCAGTTAAAGCTACGCCATAGATTCTATGTGGTATTAAACAATGAATTTTCCTCTATACAGTAATACAATGAGACAATAGGCCTAAGTAGATCCCCTAAGGATTGCCAGTATAACCTAACCAAACGTTTATATTGTATTTCTCACAGCTACTATGACAGTTTTATAATAGTTTGCGCCATACCATATCTATATACCATATTCGAAAACTTTAAAAATCACTAAGTAAAAAAATATCGACACAATTATCATATTCATTTTGTTAACGTCTTCGACACAGTATAATGCTACCGGATCTATCAAGTGTAGCTTATCAGGCATGTAGCCAAGGCGGGTGGGCTTAAAAGGCTAAAGCCCCCGAAAAGAATGGAGGGTTCATTGTGTATTTAAAATAAATGCACCATTGAATCCATTGTGTGATAATTAAAATAATAGTAACCCCTTTTTTCAAAGTTAATTTCTGGTTACTGTTTACTGGAGACAATATCAACAAAAAAACTTGTTATAATAATAATAAATATACAATGAAATAATCTGTTTTTAGTTTATTTATTAATTTTTTTTTTAATTAAGAAACTGTAATTTCAATAAACTTAAATAATTCATCAATCTTCACCTCCTTGTTTTTTTTTATGAAAAATGTTCATACAAATCATATTTTTTTATTTTATGAATTTGTATAAATTTAACATAAATTTAGTTTTAGTTTTCATGTTTTAATTTTTGCATATTATGTGTTTTTTTTTTATTCTTGTTTGGACAATAATATTATTATAAATATAGAAATTTTATACACTTTATCATCATATCAGAAAGTTTTAAATAGCATTTTAATAAAAATTTTATACTGTATTGCGTATAACTTTATCTTTTTTAAATAAAATAAAATATATATTAAATTTTCTCATTCAGTTATGCAAAAATTAATTATTTTTGTTTATATATTATTATACATAAATATTCTTTATTATATGTATATATAATTCTTTTTTTATTATAAGTTGGGAAGCAGTTGTATTGCTGTTTGAGATTTTAAGTTTTAGAATTTGAAATATTTAATTCATAAATATTAAAGAATATGAAATGTTTAAAAATAAAAATAAATGTTTTATTTTAAAAATTGTTAAGCGTATATATAGGCGTAACTAAATAAAACTGATATATTTTATTTAAGCTTATAGATAAGATAAAAAAATAAATTAAATGTTTATTGCGAAATGCATGCAAAATTGATTTAAAAAAATTAAAATAATTAAAAATTTTTTTTTCAGTTACTTACCAATTAAAAGTTAAACATTTCTTAAACTTTCATCATATAGAGTTTAATAAATATTTAACTTTTTTACTACCAAATTTTCTTTTTATGTTTTTATCCTTAGACTTGGAAACCTTTTTATACTTCAAAGTTTTGAAAATTATGTAAATTGTTTAAACAATTTAATTAAACAATTCTTTTCTTTTTTTTTTAATAATTAAATAATGCACATTTACATTACACACACACAACATATACACATATATGTAATAAAATATATATATATATATCTAAATATATATACATATATATATATTAAGTTGTTAATTTAATTTTATATTAATATGAATAAAATTAGCCATGTTGAGTAAAAAGTATGTTGAGTTCTTACACATTTAACACTTAGAAAAAATGAACATGAACAATTCAGTGAGATTTTGGATTTGATTTTGCATTTAGGGGATTTTATTATTATATAATGCTCTTCTCTATACATATAAAAAAAATTGCATATTCTTTAACTATATTTGAAATTTTAACTAATATTTTTAGTGCTATTTAAAAAAAACAGCGCTCTTTTTAATATATTTATTTAGCCGTTTTCTGTCAACAATCAATCACACTAATAAAATTATTATTTAAATATAAGGAATTTATGAACGCAATACACATTTAAAAAAAAAACTGCTTTTATATATATATAATTAAATTAATTATATTATTCTTTATAAAAACAATACCCACAGGGACATTTGTTTTAGAATTTTAAATAATGTTTTAGATACCATCTCAGTATTTGGTTACTAATTTTAAATAAATAAAAATAAAATATATACCATACCTATATACCATAAGCATTTGGTTAGTAAATTTAAATAAATAAAAATAAAAGTATATATACCAAATAACAAAGCCGTCAATCTATCAAAGTACAAATTGGACAATATATCGGAAAGGAATTATATTTGTCATTTTATTTTTATATTTTCTAAATCAATCCCACAGTGCTGATTAACGAGTATAATTAAATTGTTATATATAAAAATAAATGAAAAAATAAAATTAAAAAATAATTTGTTGTTTTAAAAATATAAAAATAATTATTTTAAAAATATAAATAAAATAAAAATATAAATATTTTTGTTTTAAAAAAGAAAAATTTTTTATTACTGATTTTAAATGCCTTTAAGACCACAATACATAAAATTGCAAATATTAATGAAATAAAGTAACTAATTATACTTAAAAACTTTGAAAGTGTTTATAAGAATATTAAAAAATTTTTTACAATTTACTTATTAATATTATAATTACTAATAAGTAATTAAAACAATATATAAATCACAAAATAATAATTCTTTATAAACCTTTAAGTATGTAGAAATGTTATGCAAAAATTTTAAAATGTCTTTAATTTAATTTTTAAGCATGTAAAAGTTAATTTTAAAATTCTAAAATTTCTATAATTAAATTTTTAATAAATAATAAAATCTAATAAAATGTGATATAATTTATTAAAACTTTAATAGGTTTGAAAATTGCACTTAATTATTTTGAAATACGTGGAAGAAAACCCTCTTGACACTTATATATTCAAATTTTTAATTAAATTATTATTAAAATATAAGTATTACACTCTTGTCGATATTATCAAGTTTAAAGATCAACTATAGATTCATTTATAGAAAATAGATAAATTCTTCAACTTTTATTTTTTACCCAAAACTGGTTGTAATACAAAATTTAAATGATGAATATCATGGGTGTAGCCAGAGAGGCTATAGGCGCCAATGGGAAACTCTGCTTATAATTAACATACAGTACTTCGGAAAAATCTAAATGTAAAAAATACACACAGAATCATTAACCTTTTAATAGCAAACAAATATTGAATTAATGTCAAGTACAATATAATATTGAACACATTTTTTGTGCTTATAACCTTTCAGACAGTTATTCAACTTCTATAACTATTATATGAAAACTTTTTAAAATTATTTTAAAACTACATATACAGGAATAGACCAAGAGTATCCTGAAAATGACTATAGACTACAAATGAAAAATTGTTATTACAATATATTTTTTAAAAATAATTTAAAAAGTTATGTATTATTTAAACAATTAACCAACCAGCCCATTGAAATATATTAGAATAAATACAAATCTAAATATTTAAATGATACTTTTTTTTAAAAATAAATATTTTTTTAAAAAAATAAGTATTTTTAAAAAAAAATTGTTTTAAAAATTTTTTTTAAAAATAAGCATTTCTTTAAACATGAATAATAATAATTAAGTACAAAACAGGTAACAATGCCATTATAATAGTATCACTAATAGTAGTAATAATAATAATAATATTAAAAATAATAATAAGTAGTAATAATAATAATAAGTAACAACAATAATAATAAGTAATAATAATAATAAGTAATAAAACTAATAAGTAATAATAATTAGTAATAATAATAATAAGTAGCAATAATTGTAAGTAGTAATAATAAATAATAATATTTATTAATAATAATAATAATAAGTAATAATAATTATTACTAATAATAATAATTACTAATAATAATAATTTCTGATAATAATTACTGATAATAATTACTAATAATAATAATTACGAATAATTATAATTACTAATAATAATAATTACTATTAATAATAATTACCATTAATAATAATTACCATTAATAATAATTACTAATAATAATAATTACTAATAATAATAATAGATAATAAGTAATAATAATAGTCACTACTAATAATAATAGATAATAAGTAATAATAATAGTCACTAATAATAATAATTACTACTAATGACAATAGGTTAATAATTATTATTACTAATAATAATAATAGATAATAAGAAATAATAATAATAGATAATAAGAAATAATAATAATTACTAATATTAATGGTGATAAGTAATATTAATTGTATATAGCAGTAATAATAAATAACAATAAGTACGATACAAATATAAAAAATTAATGAATATTTCCAAATATTTATGTTTAACATCAATTTTTCAAAATTGTCTCTATACGTCAAAGTAGTTATTAAGATCTAAAAGCTTTGCATAACCCTAAAAAATTAAGCATTTTCCCTTGAAATGGTTTTTACCAAGTTAAAGTACAAACTTATAGAAATAGGGGTTCCCTTTAGACCGAACTAGATAAGGATTCTAAAATATAAGTGGTGTTCAAATTGATCTTAATATTCGATAACTTTTTACATATGATCTGTTTTTGTTAGATTATATTACATAAATTACCTAAACATAGAAGTTAAAAGAATACTGACTTCGACCTGAATACCACCCATTAACAGTTTAGAATGTTCTCCTTAAAACAACGTGTAACCATTCAACTATGGAATTGAATTATACAATTATATATGAGCGAATAAGTCTAAACATTTAAATGGCAAACAATATTCAATTATACTAACATCTCAATTACGAAAAATATTTCTAATATTTTTAATGTATGAATATATTAAAAATTTTTTCGTTTTTTATAATCTTAAATTAAATAGTTTATATTTGATTATCAATTCCTAATCTGTGTCAGTATTATCTTGAAATATGTTTAAATATTATATTATTGCTTTTAACAAGGTACTTGGCAAGTGTTCTTATATAAAATATATGTACTTATATATTATTATGTATATTTTCCATACATAATGTCGAAGTTGTAGAAAGTATTAAAGGTATAAGAAAATTATTAAATGTATGTATACATGTGTGGATGCTTTTATGAATATAGAAGCATTAAGTGTTTCCTTTGTTAGAATTAACTAATTGAGAGAGCACTATACTAACATAAATAGGTTAAAATATAAAGAAGAAAAATATATATAGGAATATAAAACATTTACATTTATTTGCATAATATTTATTGAACCAATAAAAATAATTAGCATAATTTTTTTTGTTATATTAAACCAAAGCTTAAATTCACGATTATTTTTTTTTTTTTGTAATTTATTAAACAAGTATTTAGGATTGGAAATTTTGTCGGAATAAATAAAAAAAAAAAACTTTCTTAAGCAGCAGCATAAAAAAGTTTACATTAATAAAAGTATTTTTTTTACATTTATTTAAATAATACCTTTCAAAAATAAATTTTGATATATAGGTTATAGCATAAAATTCACAGAATTTTAAAATTTTCTTTCGAATACACATAACACAACAACAAAATACAACAACATTGTATACACAAAATTCATGCCGATCGCACTAAATTTGGGTAACTTAGGGCTAATTTACAAAGCACACTTAAGTGCCGCTTTGACACCAAAGCGATATTTATTTAAATTATTTAAATAAATATTAAACAAATATTAATATTTAAATATTATTATTTAAATTTTTAGTGTACACTAGTTTAGTGTACACTATTGTTTACATAAGAATTACTTGACTTAAGTGTGTATTGTAAAATGACCCTTAAACATTTAAAAGTATAAGACGAATTTTCTAAGTATGGAATGGAATATATGCAACCCTGTTTCTGCTTTAAAAAAGCACAAAAACCAAAAAAAATTATGAAAGGAAAGAAGAGTAGAAATTTGTTAAAAATTTAAAACATTCGAGGCATTTTAATAATATACATGAATAAAACAAAATAAATTTTAATAAAATATATTTTATTAAAAAAATAAATAAATTTATTTTCACTTTTGTTTTCGTGTGGAAACATAAAAAAAAATGTTCAAGGTATAGTTTTTCTTTTTTTTTTTGAATTTACCAATTTTTATATTGAATCGAATCCATCATTTTCTCTTAATGGCATGCGTCCACAAAGCCAAACATAACTGGTAGATGGTAATTTTTAATTATACAACAACTTAAATGATGAAAAAAAAACACACTTTTTATGAATAAAGAAAAAAAATTGACTTGGTTAATGTAAAAAAAAAACAAAATTAAATTATTTATTAAAAAAATAATAAATAATATAATGTTTTTGCCTAACAAAAAATAATTTTAAATTTTTATTGAATTTGCAAACAAAGAATTATTAACTTTCCTGCCTTTACTCAAATATATGATTATTCTTAAAAGAATAGTTCGAAAAAAATTTACAAACAAAATTTTATACAATTTCCAAAAGGAAAAAACAAATTGTGTGCCATTATTTAAAAAATCTAAAACAAGCAAAGCATAATCTCATCTCTCTAGCAGCGTTTTAAACTTTTGATAGTCTCCAAAATGTGTCTTACATTATAAATTAATATAAGTCACATAGTGTAAACACTCAAGATTTCAAGTTATAAAAAAAATTTCATTTTGAATAGATAAATATTTTCTTGCTTTTTGATTTTAGTAACACACACACATATTTTTAGCTTTGATTTTGCTCTTGGCACAATTAACATATTTTTCTCTTTTAAATAAATAAGAAAAAACAAAAAAAAAACAAACTTAAATATTTTTTCCTTTTGGAAATTTTACAGTACTGAAATTTAAATATATTTTAAAAGCAATTCTTTGTTTCTTCTCTGTATTTTCTTCTTCTCGTAGTTAAGAATATATATTTTGCTTCTGTTCTGCTTTAAATTTTGTTTTTATATTGATTTGTTAAATTTTGATGTTTAATTAATATTTGCATAGTCAAAAGGAAACAGTTTAGTTTGGTTAGTTATCACCACCCTCCTGTGGTTCATCTCCGTCCCCTTGCGTGTCGGACGTCCAGAGTGTAAGGTTATCTCTCAACAATTGCATAATAAGTGTTGAGTCTTTATAGGAGTCCTCATTGAGTGTATCCAGCTCAGCTATCGCATCATCGAAAGCCTATATACAGAATGAGAAACACAATGTTAAAAAAAATATGTTAGTTTTTATATTAATATATATACTATATATATTATATATTTATTTATATATAACATTTAAGCATTTCTTTTTCATATTAAAACAATTAAAACACATTAGCAATTATTGTCGTTTTTATTTAGACTTTTAGTTTTAGTGTATAAAAAATGTATAAAATTAAAATTCAGTATCAAAATAAAAATAAAAGAACACGTTACATCATCATTATCAATCAATCAATCAATATTTGACAGAATAACCAAGCAATTAGAGCTTGAAGCATGGTCATCAACATGTCAAAAAGCATACTTTTTATGGTTAACGTAAAACAATCAAAAATGCAGTTCGATATCGTAAAAAAAGGTGAGATATTTTTGTATGAACGTAAATAATGTTGAAGAACGAACATACAATTTTTTTTTTGTTTTTGTGTTCTGGAACTGGAAATTTATTATAAATTACTACCAGCAAGGACTACTAAAAATGTTAAAATACTAATTGTTATAAATAAAATATATGTTATAATTTTTTAGGTTTCTTATTAGTAACTGCAAAGCTCGCGGCAATAACTAAATATGTTAGTAATACTTTTTAGCATAGATATATATTACCTAAAGATATTTAATTAATTTAATTACTTATGCATACTGAGTAATCTTACATTTGACCCACTATTGTATTAAAAATATTTTATTATTTTTGCTAAGGATGAAGTTTTTATGTAAATATAATTTAGAAATAATCTGAGAATTATAACAAAATAACAATGACAAAAGACATTTTATTTTAGAAATGAATTAAAAAGCATTTTCTATGTAATTGGTTATTAAAAATTTATAAACTTCATTGAAATATCTTTAACTAACGTTTCAAATAATTTAAGCAAAATTAAAATAATAATATTATAATTAAATAATTAATTGGAAATTTAATAATCGATTTTCGATCGAATGCATTTATACACTAAATTTTTTATCGTAAATATACGGTATTTGAATTCGCTTTGATATGTTGGCGGCGAATTACCTTTAAAAGAGCGTGCAATAACAACTAAGCCAACATAGTTAAAAGATAAGACCTAATATTTTTTTGGCTTCATCTCTATTAATCGGAGATAGCCTTACAACAATCCTTTCTTTTTATAAATATTTATTATAACATACATATATAATCTCTTTTAAATTGTTGATAAAATGCAAAACTACTTGTGTTTGCTGAATAAAATGAAATTTAACTTCAACAGTAATTTTGTATAGATTTGGAGATTCAAATGCAGCAAATATTTCAGAACTCATAAACGCTATTGGAATTAAGCTTCTATTAGACAAATTTCAGTTCAAATTACTGGACTATTGTCATTACATTCATTACTAGCTTAATTCAATAGACCAAAAAGCTGTGATTCTAAAAGTAGAATACTTTAACGTACTTCGTACTTCCTAATCTATTTCTAATTCAATTCTAATTCAATTCTAATTCAATATCTTAATACTATTTATTAATTTATTTAATTGAGGTTACAAACTTTACATGGGATAGGAGACATTGTTAATTTGTATATATACATATATCACGTCAAATTTAAAAAATAAAATAGAACTTAAGTTTCCAGGATATGGCGGCATAGCACACAAATGGTTTGTATTATTGTTAGTATATACAGAATTGAAATAGGTATATGCAAGCATATATATATTTATATATATAGTCAACATTTAATATTAGTTTCATATATGTTAAAAAGTATCTGGATTTATATACAGCACAAAAATTTTTGAACACATTATGGAGGTCATAGCAGAGCACAATTTAATAATAAAAAAAAAATTGCAATTATTATTTGATTTATATTAAATAGCGTGTGAGTAATTGATATAACGCTTATTTAACAAACATTTTTAATATCGTATATAAAAAAAAAACTAAACCTGTTTAGCTAAATGACAAGCCCTCGCTGGTGAATTGATAATTTCATAATAGAACACAGAGAAGTTGAGTGCAAGACCTAATCTGATTGGATGTGTTGGCTGCATTTTGGTTTTGGCAATATCGAAAGCTTCCTGATATGCCTTTTTCGAATCCTCAACCACGGCTATAATATTTATTTGATGATTATCCAACAAAATTTTTTCATATGATAGCAATTCATGTTGTAAATTTGATATGATATGTATTGGATGAACCACGTTTAATTGTTAATATCATACAAAAATCATACAAAAAATAAATTAGATTTTAAAATGAGCAAATGTACTTAATATTAATATTAAAAAAAGTAATAAATCTAATCATTTTCTATTTAAAAACAAAAAAAAAATGTATAATAAATCAAGAAATCTTTCAAAGAGTTCTGCTGAATTCACTATATACATCAGATACATATTTTGCACAACCTAACCACCACCAACTAAATCTATTTTCTTTGTAGTTAATGTCTAATAACTAAATTAACTCTAATCAATATTAGCCTGTATCAGCGTTAAAGAAATGTTAATATTTCAAAAACTGATTTAGGTCTGATGTCATTTTTATCTTTTATTCACCTTTCCAAATATCATTGGAAGTTTAAAACGTTGCAGTGGATGATGTCACGTGTTTTTTTTATATTTACTTTTACTACTATTTGTTTTTATACATTAATAATTTTGAATTATTAAGAGTTTTATTTATTTTTAAAGAAATACTTAATTTTTTTTTGCATTAATTATTGATTTTTATATTAACCTGTTTGGCCAACTGACAGGCCTTGTCTGGTGAGTTCAAAATCTCATAATAGAAGACAGAGAAATTAAGTGCAAGACCCAATCTGATTGGATGTGTTGGTTGCATTTTACCCTTGCTAATTTCAAATGCATCCTGGTAAGCTGTTTGAGAGTCGTCTACAACAGCTACAATTTTGTATATTTAAATTAATTATTTGAACAAGGATTGTATAAAAAAAAAATTTATTTAAATTATTATATATATTCTCGAAGTTAGATAACGGAACGGAATTAATTTTATAAAAATTTAAAAAAAAATACTTACTATTGCGTGCGTCTCCTGTGGCCACCTCAGCTAAATACCTGTAATAATCTCCTTTCATTTTCAGGTAGAAAACCTTGCTCTCTGGATTGCTGGCTTTTGGAATAAGGTATTTGTCGAGAAGACCCTAAAATAAAAATAAACAAAAAATAAATTAATAATATATTTAAATATTTAAACAATATATTGTAAATGGAAAAAAAATGTACATATATATAAATAAATATAGTTATTGGTATATAATAATTTATTATTTGTGCCTATTGTTTAAAATTTAATAACAAAAACATGTATACATCACAAATTTGGTAGAATGGTTTTAAACTACTAGTTTCTATTAAATATAATAGTCACTTCCGCAATAACTGACGTTAAATTAAAACCTATATTAAAAATATAAAATATATATAAAATATATATAAAATATTTATAAAATATATATAAAATATTTATAAAATATATATAAGATATATATAAAGTACTAAAAATATAAAATATATATAAAATATTAATTTTCTTTGAATTTCTTAAACTTATTTGCAGTTGTTGTTGTAGTTTGCAAGAATCTATAAAGCAGGGATAGCTCAAGATAATGTTAAAGGGGAGCTGATTATTTAGGAGTAAGAACAGATTGGGGGATAGATGGAATTTAAATTTAAGCCAACCACGATCTTGGTGGAGAAACATAGCCACTATTATGAGGCGAGTCCAAAGATCTATTGGACTAATTTTGTGTGTGCGTTGGAGCAACAAAAAAGATAAGCGACATCATGAAGGTAAAGCTGCAGTTAGAGCACACGTTAAAAATAACTATTTACCACTTGGCGGCTCTCAATTCAATAGGATTGTTCTTGCTAACCAAGGAAGGTTTGTATTGCCTATTGAGAATTTCGTTGCAGTTCCACCTTGGTCTTGAAGATTATTACACATGTATGTTTATAACTGTTTTCTATTTTATCCATACAATGAAAATGACAATGGCAAGTTTTTAAATGTATACTCCCACAAACGGTTCTATTCCGTAGTTTTTATTTATCACACAGTGTATGTTCTTTTAAACGAATTGTTGAACTCGAAATTGAGTTGAATTTATGAGTTACTTAGACATTCATTAAAAAGTTATTAATACAAAGAAATGTATAAATTATAAACAATTTGTTGTAAATAATAATTTAAGTTAGTTTTGTGGTTTTTGTGTTGAATTAGATAAAACTAGACTTTGAAGTACTAAACCTCTTGGTCTCAGCTCCTTCCCGTAACTACTGGAATGAAGTTTTCACATTACCTTTCGAGGTAACGGTGGAAATCTTCTTCATTCAATGCTAAGAAGTGGCTTTAGTAGATCAAATACCTATATAAATTGTGTTACAGGCTCCTCGGGGAGATATGCAGATCTGAGGTCAATTATAATCTAGTGAAGGTGTAAAGAGGGGAATATACCTCGAGTTAAAAAAGAGTATAAATGCTTAAGTGCACTAGCTCAAAACAGCATCAACATAATTAACATAAAATGAAATATTTTTTATTATTCATATTTTTTGTCCTATTAAATGAAAATTTCATTTTTCAAATTTTTTAATTTTTAGCATAAATATTTCAAAAATCTTAAAATTTTACTTTCTGATATTGTGTTGATTTATTAAGAATATTTTTTGTCAAAGTCAAATTAAAATTTGTCATAAACACATCAAAGCGCCCCAAGGCAAATAATAACTGACATACACACATATGGTAGTATGTAAATTTGAATTTCCATTAAACTGTAACACACAAACGCACTGAATACAAAAAGTTATACTTATTTATAAACACTCAGCATGTGAAGCGTTTAAGCAGAATATATGTATCCTGACGAGGACATTTTAATAACATGATTGACAACGCATGTAAGATAAGGCAGTTATTCTGTACTATGATTTATCGCTATTGAAGCATTTATAATTTAATAGCTATATGTTACAAAACATACGTACAGACATATTGTGACATTTTTTTTTTGCTCTACAAACGTTTATATGAATATTAATATTATATTTATATATATACAAACGAGATAATCTATACGGTTTACAAGCACTCCCACGTTTAAACTTTATTCATATGCTCATAGCATGTAGGCCACCAGCAAACATTTATTTTAAGTACAAAAATAAAAAGAAAGTGTGTTCTGCTGTGGTTACACGAAAGGGGCAACATTTTACCAGATGTGACCAATAAGTAACAGTTATGAAAAAAAAAAAGTTTTACACTTTATTGACGATCAAAGGCAAATTAATTCTTCATTAACATTAAAAATATAGGTCGACATAATATAGGCGGATACATCCTCTGATTATGTTTATGAATTTAAATATTTGTATATGTTATTTTTTAATTTTTAGTTATTTAATAACAAAAATATTTACACATATACAAATATATTTAAAAATGTAAAAATTATATTGAAGAAAAAATTAATATACATAAAATACATACTTTGCACCACCTTAACAACCCCCACGGGATAAAATAAAAAAAAAAACATTTAAAAGGAAAGCGAACAAAATTTAATATTCGGAAATGCTACTACTACCCCCCCAGTATTTAAATACCACTTTTTGCCAAAAGCTTTACTAAAAATGGTACACAAAATTGATTTAAAAATATATATTGATTAAATGGTACTGTAAGTATATAGAACATTAATATTTAAAATGTGTCATACATATTGACGTCTAAAAGTTATCAAATGAAGTGATTTTGCGCTGTTGTGACATTACTCAGCTTTTTATATTTAATTCATTGTAATAAACAATAAGAAGTACACATTGTAGTAACACCACCAAATGGCATTTATAATATAAATCCTTTTATAAATATGAAACGTACCGTCGTGCTGTCTGTAAAATTATGTACCTGTAGAGAATAATTTGAAATTTTGACAGCTTAATTTGGGCCCTTCAGATTTAAATAACAGAATATTGAATTATTTTATGTTCTCCTATATAGACAAAATTTATTTATTCAAACGAATTTAACAAGTTAAAACATGACAACTGATTTATAACAATTAATTATAATTATATTCAATTTATTAATATTTTTTTTTTTTTTGGATGAATATTTATAAAAAAATGTTATATGTTAATAGGTAGCTCAGCAACTAAGTAATCTGTGAAATAATAATGATTTAAAATAAGGAACTTATAACACACTTCAAAATTTTCCTCTGTAAAGTAGTAGATGCAAGAAAGTGCTATATAAATGCAAGAAAGTGCTTTATTTACTTTTTTTTTAATCATAATTTTATAATTATAATTTTATTTTTAATTATAATATAAAATGTGTTTAACTGAATACCGAAGAGATTATCACAAAAAAAATATTTAATATATATTTTTATTTTCTTTTTAATACTTACCAACACTTCATAACAAATTTCCCTAAGCTCCTTCTCCACGCGTTCTCTGTACTCGCGGGCGAGCTGTTGTTTTCTGGCGGAGGCTTCGGTTTTTTGTTCAATGGATGAAATTACTCTCCATGATGATCTATAATTTATGTTATATATATAAATATATAATTCAATTATATATATTAAATATAAATATATACCTGCGGGCACCGACAACATTTTTGTAAGCAACTGAAAGCAGATTTCTTTCTTCATTTGATAGTTCTACACCAGTTTCTGTGACTGATTTCATAGCCTGAGCCATGTCATCATACCTATAAAATAATAAAAAAAAAAATAAAAATTAAATTCAACATTTAAAATATTTTAAAAAGTATATATAAATATATTTACCTTTCTGATTGTTCGGCAAGTTTTGCCTTCTGAACTAATTCCTCTTTATCGACTGTTGACATTTTGATGTGTAATTTGTTTTCAGAATATTAAAGAAAAAATGGAGTTGGGTTCCTTTTCAACCGCCGTAAGAGATTATAATGTAAGGAATCTAAAACTGATTACGTCGCTCACAGTATGACTATCTAAAATTAAACAAGAAAAAATTGAGAACATTAATAATTATAAAAATATGTTAATTAAAAATATTTTCTTATTATTATTAATAAAGGTATATTTATTTAACATAAATACACTTCAACTAATAATTATATATCTAAAAGAAAAAATGGTTTATATTTCCCCAGAGTATAAGAATTAATTATCCTCCACAAAAGTTAGCAAACACAATTTATGGTTGAACAACAACACTAAATGAGTACAAAGTGTAATAAGAATAATTAGAAAATATAAATGGAATAAAAGTTAAAGCTCCTTGATGATATTAAGAAATCCTGCTGAGCAGCATAAATCCTTCAACAACAAAAAAAAAAAAAGGTGCGCTAATTAAAATGTTGCTGCAAAATATTTAACCTAATTAGGGCAGTAATTCAGTAAAGCAAATTAATTCATTTGAATTGTACAAATAAGTTTGATACATAATTAACCTGTAATTTCAATTTAAAATTAAATATATTGCATTAAAAAGCTGACTAATTTAATTATCGCTTAAATAATATTAAGCAAAATGAAATAATCAAATTTTTTTTCAATTGCTATTTCATAAAAATTTGATAAGAAATTTTTAAAATGATTTTGAATTTTTAATTTGTATTTGTCATGTTAACTATCGTTGGTATATGGTATAGATGATATTAAAAATATATAAGCAAACTAACAAATTTGTTATCTTTAACAAAAACAATACGTTAAAGCAATTGATAAGCTAATTTTATGGAGAAAAAAAAATAACATACTGGTATTAAATATAAAATACATTTGCTAATCCCACAAAATATGTCAAATTATTTAATTACAACCAAAAAAAAATGTTCATTAATTGAATTTTTAGCTGACCCACTGTCAGCTGTTTCGAGAATTGTCAAGTAACTAGCTTTAGTTGTCTTTGGAATTAATTTTTTGGGTTTGGATTTTTTTTCGAACTTTGCCCTGCCAAATTTTAAGCGCAGTGTCAGCACTTTTATTTCATATTTGATATTTGATTTATTTTTCACATAATTATATTTACATGGATAATTTAACTTTATGATTTCGCCACACAATTAAAGTGATACACGGTATATCTCAAACGAATAGAATTAACTCCAACAGGAATTGAGAGTAAGTAAAATAGGGCAGCTTAATCATTAGGCAGACAGCCCGAGAATTATTAACTATATCATCCTAACCACAACTTTCAACAATAGTTATGAAATAGTAGATATATATATAGTAAATAGTAGAGAGTGGGTCATAATTATGAACTATGAAGTGGTTTATTCTTGGTCACTATAAATTATTCAATTAACTTCAGACTATGTTACTTAGTCATCAATGAGACAACTTGGACGGTAAGGTGTGATAAAATATTGTATAACTATATGTGTTCTTTCACGAAAAGATAGCGCAGCTGTCATCAAATCAATAGCAACTAGTTTGGACGCTGTAATGTTAAGTACTCACAAGAAACGATTAAATATTTATTGTTATTGTCTGCCTCTTTCCAGACTTCTTATGAAAATTGACATAATATAATTCTTGAGTTTATAAAATTTTTGGGGTTTATTATTAAAAGTTCATCTTATTTTACTCAAACGATTCTAATGGTTTTACAAATTTTAAGCGTTCTTTATAACTTTATGCAAAATTAGTTTTATTTTTAAGTAACAAAAAATACTAACACATGGAGTCGTTCAATGAAAAAAATTATTAAAATATTTTAAACAGTAAAATCCAACTGTTGATTTACAGCATAACATTTTACAATGCAGTTTAAAGCATAAAAATGATAAAAACGGAAAAATGTTGTCGCCATTAAATATCTGCTTTGTGTATTCGGAAGCAAAACTTTTCAAACTCTCTCCGTATAAAAATTATGGTTATTTGATATTTTATTTACTGTTCATCAAATCGCATAATTCAAATATTTGTGGTTTTGAAATGGAACGTCGTTTAATTGATCTTTTAAAAAAAAACAACAACATCTCAATTCCTATCTTACTTTATATGAATTAATATGAAAAACAATAAATAGAAAAATGAATAATAAAAAACAAAAGCAGGTTGACAAATTTATATATAGTTATTTGTGTGATGTATGAATGTTTTCATATATACTCCTTTTGATATAGTACATGAACAGATCAACTGAAATTTGTTGAATTACTATATTAGTCAAACGATTTCTCTTTATGTAAATTTTGCATACATATTTTCAATAGAAAATAATTTCAGAGAGTTAAATTTACTACTGCATGAGTATTGTGACGCACTATTAATGTGTGACTATTTTTGAATTGTTTGCTATGTGATGATGTCATACTTTTGGATATTTAATCTATGAACCTAACCTAATCTATGAAACATTTCATACAAATACTGGTCGTGTAATATATCTATATATAAATACTTGATAACACCTTTTCTCGAAATAAGGTTAATAAATATTAACATTAAAATTTTTTAAAATACGAGTCATAAAATGTTGATCTCTTAGTAGTCCATTAAATAGTAATATTAGAGTAATCAACTTGTTGTCATTTTAATAGCACTATTGCAAACATACTTTAATAGCTGATTTTGTATAACAAAACAACTAAGTAATGATAATAAAGATTTTAAGCCCTTAGAGAAATCTGATAACAAAATTATAATATAGTCTTTTATTATATTACCACATTAGTAAAAGTCAAAGGCAACAAAATTAATTAGTAATTAATTAATTTTAATACATTATTGTTGTGACAATGAACTCAGCAAGAAAATTATACACTTGCCGGTGCCCGCAGGTACATATTTATATTTAATATATATTGACCATAGAAAGCGAGAGGTTTTAGAAGGACGACCCCTCTCTTTGTCCATTGAATAATGAAACTCTTTTGTTTAAGACTAGGCTTAGACACCTTTATAAAAATATACATACATATATACTTGACAAATATTCTGTCAATATTGAATGAGAATGATAGACCAAATTAAACTACTGGAAGCTAAATTTTCGCAATGAGGTGAATGTGTTTATAAAACTATATGTGGTAAATTTATATTGAACAAAAAGCAAATATTTTAAACATTTTAATTAAGCCAATATGAAACTCTTAATTTCTGAAACCAGCATTGAAGTCGTAAGTAAATTACTTATAATCTATTTTTCTTGTTTGCGATACATGCAAATTTTTATGAATATTCTACAAGTCCTTTTGCGAGATATCGAACGGCAATTTGTCTTCGCTGCCAACGAGCGGCTCCGAAACGTATACCCGGTGGTTGTTGGGACCAATATTCTATATCGTGTTTTGGTATTTATTTTTTCAAAAATTGACTACATTGCATTTTTGAACAAAACTGACTTAACCAAAAATTGCTTTAGGTTTTTAGAGGCATTTGTACTATATTCTTCGACAAGTCTGCAAACGTTGCCTTAATTTGATAAGGCGTTTCCAGTTTCGAAAAAAATCACCACATACCTCTTGAAATGGATTGTTTTAAAAATTCTATAATGTGGTAATAAATTACTAGATATATATATATATTGTTACTTACTACCGATTAACTTTTCCACTTTTAGTTTAAAAATATAATGAATTTTCTATAGAGACTTCCCTGTCCTTTCTACATACAAAATCAATTATTATTATTAAGTCAACATTTGGATACATATTCTATTATGTACTTCTGATTGACCTTTCTATCAGCGACTGTGAATAACAAATTGAATTTAAGGGAATTATTTTTTAATTTTATCAATTAGACCTTGCTAGAATTATATCCTAACACGGATCTGATTTTAATTATTAGCTCTTAATCCTTAAATAACTCTTACATTGATCTCCTTTTCTTGTTAGACTATATAGTATATTTTTTATTTACAATCCAAATGATTTGCTTAATTTAGCAGGCTAAAATACATTCAATGTTTACTGAAAAATTATAATGGTGTGTCTTTTTTATGAGTTACGTATATTCTACAAAACATATAAAGGAATTTTTTGCAGTTTTTAGAAAGGGCAAAATCATATATTCCTGTTATATCCTGTTAAAGCTTCAAAAAGGACGGACAGACGAGCAAAAGTCCAATAAAAACTCCATTAAATCACTTCAACCATAAAATTCTTTAATTAAAAAGTAAAATCACTACTTTTTTCTTATGAAGTAATTAAATATGTATGCTGTACATACAAAAATACCTTCAATTCAAACAAACTTTGATCAACAATACAAAGTATAAATCCTGTTATATTTTATGACTTATTTAAATACAATGAACGAAGTTCAGAGTAATAAAAAGAAATCCACATTATATCAAAAGATATTACACATCTTAAAGTAGCTACACACATCAGTCACTATATTGCCATTAAATAATGGCTGTCAGAAAAAACCGTTTGAAGCAAAAGAAGAAGAAGAAGTAAATGTTATAAATATGTATCGTACGGTAGTACACTGTTAGTTAGAGAAGTCATTAAACAGCACAAGATACTCTATAAAAAATGAAGACTGTAGATACAATAGTACATTTTATTTACAGAAATAGCAAATAAAAAGTGCTAAGTTCAAAAGGTTATATATAAAAATACAAAACTGACTAAATAGCGTATATGAATTCAAGCGATGTCTAATGGATGGTAAATGTAGAATATAAAAATAACTTTACTTTGACCAATATATAAAGGCAGACAGGCATATAGCAACCAATGCCCTGCAGTAATTTTAAAAACAACTGCAAAATACTTTTAAAATACTTTTAAAAAACAAAGAGTACTTTTTATGCATTTTATAGTAACCAAAATACTAAAGCAATATTTACTGCAAAAACGAAAACTACTACGAAGTAGAAATATATTTCTAAACTCAAAAGTGATGAACTAGTATCACATTTTAAATGAAGAAAGCCTTTTGAGGGCAAGAAATGAACGCATATAAAACTTGGCATACTAAAATAGACGGCCAAGTATAATTACAATACCAGTATAGAGGGCCAACC